TCTACTTCTTACATGTTGAACTTAAATACCTATACTTTCTACTTCTTACACTTTGAACTCAAATATCTGTACTTTCTACTTCTTACATGTTGAACACAAATACCTGTACTTTCTACTTCTCACATGTTGAACACAAATACCTGTACTTTCTACTTCTCACATGTTGAACACAAATACCTGTACTTTCTACTTCTCACATGTTGAACCCAAATACCTGTTGTACTTTCTACTTCTTACATGTTGAACTCAAATACCTGTACTTTCTACTCTTACATGTTGAACTCAAATACCTGTACTTTCTACTTCTTACATGTTGAACCCAAATACCTGTACTTTCTACTTCTTACATGTTGAACCAAATACCTGTACTTTCTACTTTCACATGTTGAACTCAAATACCTGTACTTTCTACTTCTCACATGTTGAACTCAAATACCTGTACTTTCTACTTCTTACATGTTGAACCAAATACCTGTACTTTCTACTTCTTACATGTTGAACTCAAACCTGTACTTTTCTACTTCTTACATGTTGAACTAAAACCTGTACTTTCTACTTCTTACATGTTGAACTCAAATACCTGTACTTTCTACTTCACATGTTGAACTCAAATACCTGACTTTCTACTTCTTACATGTGAACACAAATACCTGTACTTTCTACTTCTTACATGTTGAACTCAAATACCTGTACTTTCTACTTCTACATGTTGAACTCAAATACCTGTACTTTCTACTTCTTACATGTTGAACTCAAATACCTGTACTTTCTACTTCTTACATGTTGAACTCAAATACTGTACTTTCTACTTACATGTTGAACTCAAATACCTGTACTTTCTACTTCTTACATGTTGAACCCAAATACCTGTACTTTCTACTTCTACATGTTGAACTCAAATACCTGTACTTTCTACTTCTTACATGTTGAACAAATACCTGTACTTTCTACTTCTTACATGTTGAACCCAAATACCTGTACTTTCTACTTCTTACATGTTGAACTCAAATACCTGTACTTTCTACTTCTTACATGTTGAACTCAATACCTGTACTTTCTACTTCTTACATGTTGAACACAAATACCTGTACTTTCTACTTTGTTACATTTGTTGAACCAAATACCTGTACTTTCTACTTCTTACATGTTGAACTCAAATACCTGTACTTTCTACTTCTTACATGTTTGAACTCAAATACCTGAACTTTCTACTTCTTACATGTTGAACTCAAATACCTGTACTTTCTACTTCTTACATGTTGAACACAAATACCTGTACTTTCTACTTCTTACATGTTGAACTCAAATCCTGTACTTTCTACTTCTTACATGTTGAACTCAAATACCTGTACTTTCTACTTCTCTCATGTTGAACTCAAATACCTGTACTTTCTACTTCTTACATGTTGAACACAAATACCTGTACTTTCTACTTCTACATGTTGAACTCAAATACCTGTACTTTCTACTTCTTACATGTTGAACTCAAATACCTGTACTTTCTACTTCTCACATGTTGAACTCAAATACCTGTACTTTCTACTTCTTACATGTTGAACCAAATACCTGTACTTTCTACTTCTACATGTTGAACTCAAATACCTGTACTTTCTACTTTCACATGTTGAACCAAATACCTGTACTTCTACTTCTTACATGTTGAACAAATACCTGTACTTTCTACTTCTACATGTTGAACTCAAATACCTGTACTTTCTACTTCTTACATGTTGAACACAAATACCTGTACTTTCTACTTCTTACATGTTGAACCACAAATACCTGTACTTTCTACTTCTTACATGTTGAACCCAAATACCTGTACTTTCTACTTCTACATGTTGAACACAAATACCTGTACTTTCTACTTCTACATGTTGAACCAAATACCTGTACTTTCTACTTCTTACATGTTGAACTCAAATACCTGTACTTTCTACTTCTTACATGTTGAACTCAAATACCTGTACTTTCTACTTCTTACATGTTGAACTCAAATACCTGTACTTTCTACTCACATGTTGAACTCAAATACCTGTACTTTCTACTTCTTAGATGTTGAACACAAATACCTGTACTTTCTACTTCTCTACATGTTGAACTCAAATACCTGTACTTTCTACTTCTTACATGTTGAACACAAATACCTGTACTTTCTACTTCTTACATGTTGAACTCAAATAACCTGTACTTTCTACTTCTTACATGTTGAACTCAAATACCTGTACTTTCTACTTCTTACATGTTGAACACAAATACCTGTACTTTTCTACTTCTCTCATTTTTCCAAACAGCTGGTTCCTTTAGTCTGAATGTGTGTTTGATGCGGTGATCATTATTCTTTAGAGTCATTGCGTGCCTATTTATTTGAACACGATCCGTGTATCCATCATTTCCTGGTCTTCTCTAAAGAAGAGGGACCAATGGAAACGTTGTCATGTTGCCGTTGTTCAGCATGGAAACATTCATTAGCTAACAATGACATTATTGTTCTATTAATATAAAGGGAAGTCAGGTACTCTTTAAAACAGCTGCTAGTTATGGGTACTTTTTACTGAAGTACATTTCAAAGCCTCTTTACTTTTACTTTAGTAAAGAAGTTTAGTCAGTACTTCTACTTTCACCAGAGTATTTTAAACACGAGTATGTGTACTTCTACTTGAGTAAAGTAGTGTGTACTTTGCCCTCTCTGGTTATATGAATGTGCTGTTATTCAGTGTATAAAGTGTGTGTACGTACAGGATCCACACCAGGCTGTTGTGGCAGGTCGGGGTCCACAGACTCCATGTCGTCCAGATGATGGGGTTTCCCCAGCAGCTGTTTGTAGAACGGCAGCGTGAAGCCCCCGTCGATGTAGTGACCGTGAAACACCGCCATGCCCATGATCCGCCCCACGAAGTGGAAGTACGACAGATGCTCCTGAAGGGGAGGAACACGGTCCGTTAACGAGCAATACAGAGGAGAGTTAACAGCTGAAGGGACTGATGATAAAGTGTAGGAATCCATTTACTCCAGAGGCCTGTTCTACGAAGCTGGTTCAACCTAACCTGGATATGTTTGAGTTAGCCGGTTGGCCTAATCCAAAACATACGCGCTCTCGCTAAACTGTACTACGACGCGGGTTATCAAGTGGATCGCTCAAGCCAGCCGTGTCCTATCTAGTTAGGCGTTCACATGAGAGGGGTGGTATCTGGAGCATTCGACCAATCACAAACATGGAGAAGCGTACTGACAGCGCAGCGTCATACTTCCTGAATGAAAAGTGAACTATAATATTAGACATATGAAGAAGTTAAACTTTAAACATCCATGACTTAAACACTTGATCCAGGATCAAAGCCACAGAGCTGCACCTGCAAGGTGAACACAGCTGGTGACAGAACAAGTGTTTGAATGCGTACATTAACAGGTTTATGATATCACAGCCCGTCTAAGACACCATCTGACTTTCATTACATTTGACTCGAGTGTTTCCTCAACTTAATGTGTTGCTTAAAATAATCCTTCTGCATCCAGTCTGTGACGCTGTGAGTGTTGCACGGCCAGATACGGCTCAGCTGACTCAGATAAGAAAATATATGATACATTATGAAGTGATATGCCGCGGACTGTACTTAATGTTACTCTGATCCGGTTACTTATGTTGTGGCAGATATTTAAGTAAGCTTTCTTAACGCTAATGTTATAATAGTCAGATTGCTCTGAAGATGGAGGTGATATTCTATTCATGTTCACGTTCACACAGTCGCTGATTTGAACTGCAACGAGAGTTTAAACTGTATTTCCTTTCTCCTGTAATATGACTTGATCGCTTTAAACTCTGCACACCGTTGTTATCAGCTGTTCCACCACGGTTTCTACCTCAACCTGTAGTAGATGTATCCTCATTGAAACGGTTACATTCAATGAAAAATAAAATCAATGTGCAGGCTTACGTGAACACTGTTCTACATGAACAATATGGGCAGTTTATACATTAAATGAATCAACAGTATAGTGGCGATATGCTCCAAGCGGAAGCGATTCGCCATTAAAGCAAAGAAGAAGAACTCCGCACAGTTGATCTCTTATCCTGGAACCTATCCTGCTCCGGCGCAGGCTAGCCGTTCAGAATAAGTTATCAAGCCCGCTAAAAAGTGAACCAGCGTCGTAGTATAGGCCCCGGGGGAGATTAGGTTTACAGGCTGTCGCTCTATTGTAGAATTAAATAAATGATACGAAGAAAAGTGTAATAATAATAAAAAAATTAAATGTGGAAAACGTTTTATATTAACTTGAACACAAAAAGTGCTTCACATTTATATATTGATTGATTGATAGTAAAATAAATAAATTACAAAACTATTTTTTTTGCAGTGCAGTCATGTAATAGAAAACAAAACAAAGTGACATTTACAACAACAACAACAACAACAACAACAACAGCATTAGCAACATAAACAGTCCCACGACTGTGGCTGCGAGGGAGTGCGGTCGTCTTTCAACCAGAAGGTTGTGGGTTCGATCCCAGCCCATGCAGCCAACATGTCGATGTATCTTTGGGCGAGATACTTAACCCTGAGTTGCTCCCGATGGCATGGCCAACGGTGTGTGAATGTGTGTGAATGTTAGGTCCTAGAGCAAGTGGTACTGCTCTGTATGAATGGGTGTGAATGGGTGAATGACATGTAGTATGTAAAGCGCTTTGAGGGGTCGTAAAGACTGGATAAAGCGCTATATAAGTACAGTCCATTTACCATTTACATCTAGTTTGTGTAAAATAAATGATGAATAAAAAGGACTCAATTACGGTCATGGAACCACTGAATAATGACACTTGAGACAATGAGCTTCTTAGCGGCGATAGAAGCAGTCTCAGTATTCGCTTCAGGTCTGATCGCGCTCACCAACAATTCTACAAAACGGGATCGAAGAAACCCTTCTGAATGTTTGTTTAAAGAAACATAACATCTGGCTATAATGTGAGTATTTTCTGGTTGTTGTGAACGACTGAGACTCACAGGGTTGACGGCGGAGTCGGGGTTGATCTGCAGAGTGTAGATGTCATCTCGTGAATACTGGAAGAGTCCGTAGTACGGGTTCAGCATCTCATGAGACAGCAGGTACAGCCACTCCCTGCACACAGAGGAGATATGAAGTACAACACAGAGGATGCTACGGGGGCATCAGAGTCAGGAAGAAGACGTTACACAAAATAAACTCAAGTGAGAGAGGTGTGTTCTCTGGTTCCTCCACCAGGGGGCAGCAGAGTGACAGCTTTTACAGAGTGTGTGTTTCAACGCCTCTCTCTTTTGTTCTACTGCTGCTCACCTGGCCACTCCTCCGTAATCCAGCCCCTCCTCTGCTCTGAACTTCACCATTAGCCTTTTCCACAAGTCCTTCGGCCTCATCTTCATCACCTGGCGATACGACTCCTGCAGCACAGATGCAAAGAAACATCGTTAGAGAAACAGTCAACAGCTGTTTTACTTTACTGACCTCTTTGCTGCAGACAATTTTCAATTTGCAACTAACGATCCATTTTCATTGTCCTGGGGGGTGTACTACGAAGCAGGATTTTCGCTTAGCGGCTAAATTCAGGGGAAACTCCGGCTTTCCGGTCCTACGAAGCTGGTTCTCTTTTTAGCAGGCTAGATCTCCATGGTAACTTATGCTTAGCGGCTAACCTGGTCGGGAGCAGGTTAGGTTGCAGGCTAAGAGCTCAACTCAGTGAAAGCACCGCCTGCTGACCAATCAGAGCTCAGTGTGCGGAGTTTAAAGCGATCAAGTCATATTACAGGAGAAAGGAAATACAGAAAAGCTGCCGTTGCAGGAAAGACGGCCGGCAAAAATCACCGACTGTGTGAACGTGAACATGAATAGAATATCACCTCCATCTTCAGAGAAATCTGACTATTATAACATTAGCGTTAAGAAAGCTTACTTAAATATCTGCCACAACATAAGTAACCGGATCAGAGTAACATTACTTACAGTCCGCGGCACTGTGAGTGCAGACGTCGATGTGTCCCATTATCATTCATATCACTTCATAATATATCTCCTGATCTGAGTCAGCTGAGCCGTATCTGGCCGTGCAACACTCACAGCGTCACAGACTGTATGCAGAAGTATTATTTTAAGCAACACATTAAGTTGAGGAAACACTCGAGTCAAATGTAATGAAAGTCAGATCGTGTCTTAGACGGGGCAGTGATATCATAAACCTGTTAATGTACGCATTCAAACACTTGTTCTGTTCCCAGCTGTATTCACCTTGCAGGTGCAGCTGTGTGGCTTTGATCCTGGATCAAGTGTTTAAGTCATGGATGTTTAAAGTTTAACTTCTTCATATGTCTAATATTAAAGTGGACTTTTCATTCAGGAAGTATGACGCTGCGCTGTCAGTGCGCTTCTCCATGTTTGTGATTGGTCGAATGCTCCAGATACCACCCCTTTCATGTGAACGCCTAACTAGAGAGGACACGGCTGGCTTGAGCGATCCACTTGATAACCAGCGTCGTAGGACCGTTTAGCGAGAGCGCGTATGTTTTGGATTAAGTCAACCGGCTAACTCAAACATATCCAGGTTAGGTTGAACCAGCTTCGTAGTACAGGCCCCAGATATCATTCAATCGTTTTCTGTTATTGTTGTTGACTGATCTAAGATATGTCGATCTGTGTTTTCCAAAGTCTAAGATGCCTCTCTCCAATGTTGTTTTGTAAACATCAAATTAGAGATTTGTTTTCCAATTAATTGTCAAGGAGGAGTAAAAAAATACATTTTCACAAATCCGGAATCAGAGAATTACATTCTTTATTTCGTTGTTTTTACAAAACAATGTAATCAGGTCACATTTACTCTAAATTGGGATACTTAGATTAGCTTCCTGATTACATTTCTTACAGGTATTTAGTTATTGTAACCCTCCTAACTATGATGAGGGAAAGTTATAATAATAAACACACGTCTCCAGGTTTCACTTTGCCGTGCAGAAACACCCAGAGGAGCTGCGGGAGAAATGGGAACGTCTTATCTAAAAAAAAGTACTTCACTGCAGTTCTGTTTAACTTAACCTCAAGACACCCCACCCCCCGCCCCCCCCCCCCCCCCCTCTCACATTGAGTTCAGCCAACAAAAATTTCTTGGTTCAGATTAACAGACGAGGCTGTTCCAGAACATTCCAGCGCATTTTTTTACGAGGCTCAGGCAGTCTGCAGGTGTTGCTGCTCTGAAGATGCAGAAAAAAACCTCCCCAGCTGAAGATGTGCCGGAGAGAGACCTCATCTCAAACAAGACGTCTGCTTTACATTTCTGACTTCACACATCATAGATAACTGAGAGAGAGGAAGACTTCTCTCAGACAACCTGCACCATGACCTTCATGGCAGGAGACCAGGAGAAGAGCCAGGTGTTTAATACATTTTCCTAGTGGTCAAATGGTGGTACTACAACTGCCTCAAAGCACTTTCCCATTGACCTACATTGGAAAACAGCAATTTTACTTTGAATATCCATTAGCGTTCTAAAAGTTGAATAACTTGCTTAAAGGCCGAATCCAAGTTATTTTCCCTCTACATTCATTAGACTGAGCCGAAACCAGACGCAAGGTAGCGGGTGGGAGGCGGGGCTTAAGTATGTGGGTGGGGCTTACATTTGGAGGTGGGGTCAAAGGATAAAGTGTGCATGCTCTATAGGCGCTTTCACACCGCAGTACTTTTTCCACAAAGGTTCATGAGAACTTAGTTCATGAGAACTCTTTAGTTCTCATGAACTAAGTACAGATCGCGTTCACACCGGAATAAGTCCCTGAGGGAGGATTAGGCAAATGAAGCCGCTGACGTCACTTCTTCTTCTTCTGCTTTGGGTTTACTGGCAGGCCGCAAACCACTTCATATACTGCCGCCCAAAGTCCCCGGCCGGAAGTCCCCGGAGTTGGGGACTGGCTTCAGTAGAAGCTGCTGGGACTCCCAGCAGCTTCTACTGAAGCCTTCCGAGTAAATCGCCAGAACGCCGACACCTCCTCATCTCCACCGCTCCCATGTTTTATTGTGTGTTGCCATAAGTTAGTCTCTCTGCGTTTCTGCGCTGGGCTAACGCTAATGCTAATAATGCTAATGCGAGGATAATAAAATGGCGGCTTCACAAAACTTTTGGGAGTTTTACGGGGCGTGGATTGCAATCCTTCCAGCCAATCAGAAATAGGAACCTTTTTCTCCCACGAAAGTCCCTGCTCTCTAGCAGGGACGGAAAAGGGGGTGAAAGGGCTCTTTTTGGTGTGAACGCGACAAAAGAGTTCTCATGAACTAAGTTCTCATGAACCTTTGTGGGAAAAGTACTGCGGTGTGAATGCGCCTTATGGGTACAATGGAACAAAAATACCCATACCTTCCCTAGATCGTCACTGGATCTTTCTAAGATGTTCCCTTGATGTTCCCTTGATATTCCCTAGATGTTCCCTAGATCTTCCCTTGATCTGACCTTGGTCTTCCCTTGACAATCCCTAGATGTTCCCTAGATGTTCCCTTGATCTGACCTTGGTCTTCCCTAGACAATCCCTAGATGTTCCCTAGATGTTCCCTAGATGTTCCCTTGATGTTCCCTTGATGTTCTCTGGATCTTCCCTAGACAATCCCTAGATGTTCCCTAGATGTTCCCTTGATGTTCCCTTGATGTTCTCTGGATCTTCCCTAGACAATCCCTAGATCTTCTCTGGATCTTCCCTGATCTTACTTTGGTATTCCCTAGATAATCAAGCCACCCTCAGCATTGGAAGATCCATACCAATTTAGGCATAGCTTATCAGGATGTCCCATTTCACATATCTCCAATCTATCGTGTGATTGTACTTTGATTTTCAACTGTTTGAAAATAAATAAACACCATACTTCTATTGTTTAAAGCTGTCAGTGCTGAATGTAGATTTGTTGACCTTAGCTTCGGAGAAAATTAGATCCTGCAGGTGGTTGTGCAATGGAGCAAATATTAAAGTCTTTCCATGTTTTCTTACCATTTCGTTATGCATTCTTAATTAATTTCATGCATGCTCTGGCTGTGACGACTGAATTTCCCTTTGGATTAAATCATGTGTTAAAAAACAACCCTCCCCCTCAGATGATTTCCTGACGCAACAAAACAGACTATAACATCACTTGTTGTTAAATACCAACTATGTGCAATATATATATATATGCCGTTAATAACTGTGCAATAATAACCTGGCAGCTAAATCTTCAGAACTGCTACAGGATGTCTATTTGTATAAATTGTAATTTTTTTTATCTTTAAAGGTCTCCTATTATTCTGTTATCATCAATATATCACAGGTCTCAGATATATCCAGAGCCTGTCTCTGATTGGCTGAAACACCAAAAAGATCATTGCAGCATTACCCATAATCCCCTCTGTTTCTGCCCTGTTTCCAAAGCGCTGATTCTCTGTCTGTTACTTTAGATGAAAACAAGGAGCCCCTCCCCACGCCCCTCTGAGAGACATGTGGTTACAAAGAACTCAATGGTGCTCTAGAGGAGATTCAGGTGATAAGGGGGGGGGGGGGGTTACCTTGGTTGCTGATTGGCTAATGGTTACACAAGACAACACATCGTTATGACATCATAAAGTGACCAAAATCTGATCAGCTCATTTTCAGACAGGTTTTTATAGAAATGGATCAAAAAGAGAGAGAATCTTTGTTCCTGAAACTTTCAGAGTCTCTTTCCACAGAGGGGACACATGTTGATGTAGAAGAGACATGAAGAAGAGGGGACACATGTTGATGTAGAAGAGACATGAAGAAGAGGGGACACATGTTGATGTAGAAGAGACACGAAGAAGAGGGGACACATGTTGATGAAGAAGAGACATGGAGAAGAGGGGACACATGTTGATGTAGAAGAGACATGAAGAAGAGGGGACACATGTTGATGTAGAGGAGACATGAAGAAGAGGGGACACATGTTGATGTAGAAGAGACATGAGGAAGAGGGGACACATGTTGATGTAGAAGAGACATGAAGAAGAGGGGACACATGTTGATGTAGAAGAGACATGGAGAAGAGGGGACACATGTTGATGTAGAAGAGACATGAAGAAGAGGGGACACATGTTGATGTAGAAGAGACATGACGAAGAGGGGACACATGTTGATGTAGAAGAGACATGAAGAAGAGGGGACACATGTTGATGAAGAAGAGACATGAAGAAGAGGGGACACATGTTGATGTAGAAGAGACATGAAGAAGAGGGGGACACATGTTGATGTAGAAGAGACACGAAGAAGAGGGGACACATGTTGATGTAGAAGAGACATGAAGAAGAGGGGACACATGTTGATGTAGAAGAGACATGAAGAAGAGGGGACACATGTTGATGTAGAAGAGACATGAAGAAGAGGGGACACATGTTGATGTAGAAGAGACATAAAGAAGAGGGGACACATGTTGATGTAGAAGAGACATGAAGAAGAGAGGACACATGTTGATGTAGAAGAGACATGAAGAAGAGGGTATCCAGATATATCCAGAGCTTGTCTCTGATTGGCTGAAACCCCTCCCCACGCCCCTCTGAGAGAGATCTGGTTACTAAGAACTCAATGGTGCTCTAGGAGGAGATTTTCCCCCTCTGTGGGACGAATAAAGGTATTCTGATTCTGATGGTGAAGCCTCATCAGAATCTACACGTCCTAAGCGGCTAGTTCATCCTCCTCCTTACTTCAGTGACTACGAAGTGAGTTATGTCAGCCAAAGGCAAGCCACTACAATTCCTAGTTATCAACACACATATACATACACTACACCTGCTCCAAGGCTGTAATACTGTGACTGTTGTGTTGATATCTTCAGTAAAAGGAATTAACCGCTACCAAGACTCCTGTGTTCTTACCGACACCCCAAGGCGTTCGTCATTCCGAGTGGAACCTTCATTATACAGTCCTTATCTAATGTTTCTCTGTCCGTCCTCACCTCAAAGATCTCCTCGCGGGACACCTCGATGCGGCAGTGTCCGGCCTGCGGCTGCTGCTGGGACAGCTCCTGCCGCAGGATCTTCAGCTTCTGGACCAGGTCTCTCTTGTACTTCGGCACCGTGAGGCACTCGTTCTCCTCGGGCAGCTGGGCGGGCGAAACCGGAACCTGCTGGACCTGGTCCTTGAGATGGTTCTGACGACTGGGAGGAGGGCGGGAGAAAGAGGGGCGAGAGAAATCAGAATGCTGTTATTTTTTTAACTTTTTTTATTGGGTTTTTTCAACAGCTACGGTTATTCTATCAGAGCATGTGTCAAAAGAAGGTAAACAAATCTTCACTTAATAGAAAAATAGGTAGCGTAACAATGTAAATACTGCTTAACACCAGGGCAACCAAAACCCCACACAGACAGAAGACAAACAGACATATACAAATTAAATAAATGAATAGAAAACCACTCAGATTAAACAAAAATGTCAATAGTAAACAATAAATGTCATCAGAATGTTGTTATAACTACTGGCTGCTATTTAGAGAGATGAACATGGCTCACAGGATTTAAAAAAGAACATCAATGTAATGCATCATGTTTGTGGGGTATATAACAGTCAGTGGGGGTCCCTGGATAGGTTAGGGTTAGATGTATGAATGTTTGCTTCATTTTATTCTCAACAAATAAAACCAAAACGTGCCAAAAACTTAAAAAGAAAGCAGCGATTCATGAAGAGATGTTTCAAACACAGCGGCTAACCACAGTGTGAGCAGTGTGGCTGAGAACAACATCTGTGGGTAAAGATGACAGGGGTCTCCACTTTGAACCAGCCACTGTGTTAGGAAGACAGAGGGTGGCATATAACACACACACACACACACACACACACACACACACACACACACACACACACACACACACACACACACACACACACACACACACACACACACACACACACACACCATGTATACATCACTTCAGGGGACATTACATTGACTTACATGCATTTCCTGGAGACTTATCCTAACCTTAACCATAACCAACACATGCCCTCATGGGGACCTCCATTTTGTCCCCATAAGGGAGGCGAGTCCCCACACGTGACTATGTAAACAGATTTGAGGTCCCCACAAGTATAGTAATGCTAGGCCACACACACACACACACACACACACACACACACACACACACACACACACACACACACACACACACACACACACACACACACACACACACACACACACACACACACACACACCCACACACAGACACCCCCTCACACACACACAGAATAAAAAGAGCCTTTATTGGGCCGGCACTAAAGGATAATGTGCACAGTGGCCTTTTGCACTCCGGTGGGGGGGTCGCAGGGCCATAAACAGAACGAGCACAGAGGGTGCTGGAAAAAATACACATGTCTGTCTGTCAGCTTGAAATCAGGTCTGTGGTTAACACAAGCTGAAGAGATTTTTGTCCAACGACATCAAATACGTCAGTAAATACCCCACTGGTCTAAATGAGACGACTAAACGCCATCACGCCCAACATTAGCCGCCATTAGCTTAGCGGTGGCGACGTCATCATAAACATTTGTTTGTCACAAAGATTATTCTCTGTAATAATCCAAAATCCCATGGAGAAATCTCATTGGATTTTTGTGGAGGGAACCAGGGAGATGCTAACTTTCAAGTTGTCCTACAAAAATACTTCATCCCTGCACCTCTCCATTTGTAAGGTTCTTTCTGAAACTAAAGCTCAATCGCTAAAATACAGACTGATGTGTCAGACTGTATTCTGAAACGTCTCGACTGAAATCTGCTCCTCTCAACTATCCGCTCTATATCTTTCCTTCTACGACCACAATGACAACGTCTGATGATGCACTGCGTGCTAATAGAACCGTCCTTCGGGCAGCAGAGCGGAAACGGTGGAAATCCAAACACCGTGACGACCTCCTAACCTATCAGGCTCTCCTCTCCTCTTTCTCTGCTTCGATCTCTCAGGCAAAAAGCACTTTCTTTCAAGATAAGATCCAATCTTCCTATTCCAATCCTAAACAACTATTTTCCATCTTCTCCTCCCTCCTGGACCCCCCCAAAGCCCCTCCCCCCTCCTCCCTCTTGGACCCTCCAAAAGCTCCTCCCCCCTCCTCACTTCTGTCAAGCGACTTTGTTATCCACTTTGAAAAAAAGGTTGATGATATTCGCTCTTCTTTTTCTGACTCACCTTTACTCACCGCTGGGTCACCAGACCCTCCTTCCACCAACACACTTACCTCCTTTTCCCCTCTCTCTCCAAGTGAGGTTCTTACCCTCATTACCTCTGCCCGCCCTACCACCTGTCCTCTGGACCCTATCCCTTCAAACCTCCTTCAGACTATCGCTCCTGATATTCTACCGTTTCTCACCCACTTCATCAACACTTCTCTAACTTCTGGTCACTTTCCAAACAGTCTCAAGGAGGCAAGAGTAAACCCTCTCCTAAAGAAACCCACTCTCAACCCGTCAGATGTTATAAACTACAGACCTGTCTCTCTCCTCCCGTTCCTGTCTAAATCACTTGAACGCGCTGTCTTTAAACAACTCTCCTGTTATCTCAATCAGAACAATCTTCTGGATCCGCACCAGTCTGGTTTCAAGGCAGGTCACTCCACAGAAACTGCTCTCATTGCTGTCACGGAGGAACTGCACACTGCCAAAACTGCATCCCTCTCCTCTGTCATCATCCTATTGGACCTGTCTGCTGCATTCGACACAGTGAATCATCAGATCCTCCTTCGCACTCTCCAAAAACTTGGAGTTTCAGGCTCTGCACTTTCCCTCCTCACCTCATACCTGAAAGACCGTACCTACAGGGTGACTTGGAGAGGGTCTGAGTCCGACCCTTGTCAATTAACTACAGGGGTCCCTCAGGGCTCTGTTCTTGGTCCCCTCCTCTTCTCCCTGTACACAAACTCGCTCAGATCAGTCATTAGCCCGCATGGTTTTTCTTACCACTGCTACGCTGACGACACCTAATTAATTCTGTCCTTTCCCCGCTCAGAGACCCAGGTCGTTGCACGCATCTCTGCTTGTCTAGCTGACATCTCTCAGTGGATGTCTGCTCACCACCTCAAGCTCAACCTTGACAAGACTGAGCTGCTCTTCCTCCCGGGAAAAGATTGTCCCACTCTTGACCTAACAATCAACATCGGCACCTCAGTTGTTTCCCCGACTCAGACTGCAAGGAATCTGGGTGTGACCCTAGATAACAACCTGTCCTTCACTGCAAACATCGCTGCTACAACCCGCTGCTGCAGATACACGCTTTACAACATCAGGAAGATACGTCCCCAGCTGACTCAGAAAGCGACTCAGGTTCTGGTCCAGGCTCTCGTCATCTCACGCCTAGACTACTGCAACTCCCTCCTGGCTGGTCTACCTGCATGTGCCATCCGACCTCTGCAGCTCATCCAGAATGCAGCGGCTCGTCTGGTCTTCAACCTTCCTAAATTCTCCCACACCACTCCGCTCCTCCGCTCCCTTCACTGGCTTCCGGTAACTGCTAGAATCCACTTCAAGACACTGGTACTTTCTTACCGTGCTGCGAATGGATCTGGCCCTTCGTACATCCAGGACATGGTTAAACCGTACACCCCAGCGCGTGCACTACGCTCTGCATCAGCTAAACGACTCGCTGCGCCCTCGCTGCGAGGGGGACCCAAGTTCCCATCGGCGAAAACACGTGGGTTTGTTGTCCTGGCTCCAAGATGGTGGAATGAGCTCCCCATTGACATCAGGACGGCAGATAGCTTGCACATCTTCCGGCGCAAACTGAAAACTCATCTCTTTCGACTCCACTTCGAGCGATAGAACTATTAACGAAGCACTTTTATACTAATAAAGGACTGGCTTATCTAAAGCCAGTTGAGTAGCACTTGAAATGTTTTTGCTCTATGAAACCTGATGTACTTATATGATTCTGTTTTTTCAAGTTGTATTTTGTTGGTCGAACGCACTTATTGTAAGTCGCTTTGGATAAAAGCGTCAGCTAAATGCAATGTAATGTAATGTAATGTAATGTAATGTAATGTCTCCTCCACAAAGTGATTGAGTTTGGTTTCTGCTGTCTGCCCAGCTCAATCCAGTTTCTGCTAAATCACTTCCTGCGATCCCAGAAAGCCACAGAGTGGCCTCAGAGGACACTCAGACGTCCTCATGAAGCCTCTTTATCACCTGCACTAGACTCCAGAGTTGGGAAGTAGTGGAGTACAAATACCTCGTTACTGTACTTAAGTACATTTTTCTGGTATCAGTACTTTACTCCACTACTTATTTTTCTGATCACTTTCTCACCAAATACCTGTACTTTCTACTTCTTACATTTTGAACACAAATACCTGTACTTTCTACTTCTCACATGTTGAACACAAATACCTGTACTTTCTACTTCTTACATGTTGAACACAAATACCTGTACTTTCTACTTCTCACATGTTGAACACAAATACCTGTACTTTCTACTTCTCACATGTTGAACACAAATACCTGAACTTTCTACTTCTTACATGTTGAACTCAAATACCTGTACTTTCTACTTCTTACATGTTGAACACAAATACCTGTACTTTCTACTTCTTACATGTTGAACTCAAATACCTGTACTTTCTACTTCTTACATGTTGAACTCAAATACCTGTACTTTCTACTTCTTACATGTTGAACTCAAATACCTGTACTTTCTACTTCTTACATGTTGAACACAAATATCTGTACTTTCTACTTCTTACATGTTGAACCCAAATACCTGTACTTTCTACTTCTTACATGTTGAACACAAATACCTGTACTTTCTACTTCTCACATGTTGAACTCAAATACCTGTACTTTCTACTTCTCACATGTTGAACTCAAATACCTGTACTTTCTACTTCTTACATGTTGAACACAAATACCTGTACTTTCTACTTCTTACATGTTGAACTCAAATACCTGTACTTTCTACTTCTTACATGTTGAACTCAAATACCTGTACTTTCTACTTCTCACATGTTGAACTCAAATACTTGTACTTTCTACTTCTCTCATTCTCCAAACAGCTGGTTCCTTTAGTCTGAATGTGTGTTTGGTGCGTGATCATTATTCTTTAGAGTCATTGCGTGCCTATTGATTTGAACACGATCCGTGTATCCATCATTTCCTGGTCTTCTCTAAAGAAGAGGGACCAATGGAAACGTTGTCATGTTGCCGTTGTTCAGCATGGAAACATTCATTAGCTAACAATGACATTATTGTTCTATTAATATAAAGGGAGGTCAGGTACTCTTTAAAACAGCTGCTAGCTATGGGTACTTTTTACTGAAGTACATTTCAAAGCCTCTTTACTTTGACTTGAGGAAAGAAGTTTAGTCAGTACTTCTACTTTCACCAGAGTATTTTTAAACACGAGTATCTGTACTTCTACTTGAGTAAAGGATGTGTGTACTTTTGCCATCTCTGATACTCACGGATGGGAGGGGAGGTGAGGGAGAGCATCTCCTCCTGCACGTTCACCATAAATCAAACATTCCTGCTCCTCTCTCGTTTCAGAGCTCTCTCTTCTCTCTCCAACATCTCTACCCATGAGCTGGTGCATGTTGACTAAAGTTGGCGCAGTAAAAGCAATGTTTTCACTGTGCAACTAATCACAAATGTCTGGGAGATGACACGGATATTCCTGTACGGAGGGCGATCCTGCAGCCAAGGATTCAGTTACCGTTCTAACCTTGAATTTGGGGAAGATTGCAACATCATATAACCAGAAGACCCTCAGTGTGGATGCTCAGGCAGTGTCGTTAGCAAATAAAAAAAGACCATAAACTGTAACTTTGACATATATATATATATCGAACATTCTTGTGGGATGACGGCACACGAGGGGTGAACATTTCTAACATCCCGGACTTGATAAAAGGCAGATGTCTTGATGGAAATCCATGACGACTGATATCTTTTCCAGTCACGAGCGAGAAAGTCCCTCCGAAGTCTTTTCTATGAGCGGTAATGGAGCAGCTTTAGTTGGGACAGATAAATAAATAGGTTCTTTTAGAGTGTTAATGTGATGAGAACGCACTGTTTGTATACAAGTCATTCTACTCATCTCAGGACCACGTGTCCTTGAATAACCAGGAGATGTACAGCATTTCAATCTTAAGGCCCGGACACACCAAGCTGACACAGACGGACCCCCGACTGTTGTGTCGCCTCGCGTCTCTGCGTTTTGGCCATGTGTCGCACTGGAACCAAGCGGCAAACTCTGGGGCAGAGCCGGGAGGCCAATAAGGAAGTGCCTCAAACTGCAGTTCATCTAGTGGCCAGTAGGAGCAGTCTGCAGAAGGGAGCAATTTCCATAGACCCCCATGTTAAAATGACCAACTTTACAGCAGAAATAAACATGTTTACATCGTGGTTAAAAAAAAACATATTCTCTGTATAGTTAGATTCCCCCTTCATGACTACTGTGTGGGGGGTGAATTGTTTTAGAACGCAACCCTTTTAGTTATATTAGGTCCTAACGTTTTAGCATAAATTAGGGCAGGTCTCTGCAGTGAGTGCTACTTCTAGCTTTCTGTCTCTCTGCTAGCTCCGTTAGCTCAGTAAGCTCCAGGATGCTACAGGGGCTCAACTGCTGGGCTGATCCCGGGAACACAACTTGAACCCGGACGTGTTTGTTGTGTTGGTGCCTGGTGGGGTATTCTTCATTTAAATATCGGACTTATCTTATGGCTTTTGGAGGTTCCGCCTCTTTGCCCTTATTTGGATCAGGCTGGAGCAGGCGGGAGTTAGACTCTGACACTGTCGAGCCGTTAGTGGCCGACTCCGCCTACTTTAGGCTTCTCGGCAACTCTGCAGAATCCTATGGGTGACGTCACGGACACTACGTCCATTTATATATACAGTCTATGACTGGAACACACCGCAAAGACTTCAGCCGACGGCCAAGAAGCACGTACGAACTGCGCATGCATGAGTGGCAATAACTCTCCTTACCAGCAGGCGGCGGTAGTATTCCAAAAGAGGCAACAACCGGAAGACAGACTGCGTGATAACCGAGAGAAGAAGGACAGACTGCGTGATAACCGAGAGAAGAAGAACAGACTGCGTGATATAAACAAACAACAAATAGCGTCTGCGTTCCATTTTCCCTCTACAGCGAGAAGCTCACGGGGCTTTCCCGAACCTGAGTCGAGAGCTGGAGGTAAATGAATCTCAGATTTGCTTCTTAATGGTTTGTTTGGGTCCCTCACTTCCGTTTCGCTTCTCATGCACTGATTCGCTAGCTGAACAGCCAATCAGAGTGATTTATTTTGCCGACTGCCTTTTGCCGACAGCCCACCGATTCGACATGTTGAACCAAAAAGGTGTCGGCACGGCTGAAAAGACACAACGGTGCAGGACACACCAATCTGAGTCGGCCTGACGCCCACCGACGGCCAACATCGGCTTGTTGTGTCCGGGCCTTAAGACTTTATGTGAGTTTTAGATGATTTTAACAAATGAATTTAATGACATTTGACGCTGCAGAGAAACCATTGCCTGTGTATAAAATAATTCCCGCGCAGGCTTTGGGAGTAATGGGTTACATCTAATGGGATAATCAGGATACAAAAAACCCGGTATTCCCTCACATTTACATAAAAAAACACCCAAAAACATTTCTAAGATTTGGGGATAACTAGCAAGATGACAGTTAGTAGAAACCTAAAAGGAGCATTTCGTGTTTGTTGTAAAGGATCAGATGTTATCTCTTCTCTGTCAGCTCTAAGCTAATACTTTAAGTGTGAATCTATACGCCTACTATCTGAATCTGCTTTATAGTTTTCACTTTCTTTGGTTTCTCATTTCCTGTCAGTGCTCATGTGTTTCAGCGTTACGCTACTGCCTGAATATCAGGGTATATGAGGAATCCTGAAGTCAAATGTAATTCCTTTTAAGACCTTTTTAAAGACCCTTTCCAAACATTTTAAGACCTCATCTCCACTTGGAGTTTTAACCGTTTACCTTGGCGACACACTTTACCTCACATTGACTATATACAGTATGGATTGTCCTTCCTCCTTATCTTCCAACCATTTGGACGCAGACTTGCATTTCCCCATAACGATGTTGCTTAGCAACCGGCGTAAACGGACCTTTGCGCTATCAAGCAGTGAGCGTGCGATGTCCTGTTCAGATGACGTCAAACCCAACGGGATGCCATCAATAAACGACACAGAATCACACTACACACCTACGCAATGATTACATTCAGGCAGACTGTAGAATACAACCTCTTTGGACCATTTATATACTTATTGAAAACAAGCTACAACATGTGATACCTTGGAAAAATGCAGTTTAATAGCCTTAACTTTCGCTAAATTGATTTATCAACTCTTAATACTTTTTAAGACCCCGCGGACCCCCTGGAATAAGCTGAATGAAAATGAAAGGCAACTTTTCATATCAATAAAATCACTTTTGATCCTAAATATCTTCTTCCTTTCCAAGGTCACATGGTTCTGATGTCTTACATAATAAGTAAAAACATCTTATTGATATTTATTTTCTCGTGTTCTTATCTGCATTGCATTCGATATCGTTGTAATCCAAAAGTAACGGAAAGTAATCAGGTTACTTTTATATTGTGATACTCCTATTACGTTACTGATAACCCTCCCAAAAACACGCCCACTTCCTGTCTTTGATGTGCACTAATAATCCCCCTAGAATAAATATACGGTAGAAATTCAATGCATGATAATTTCTCACATCTGGGCATTAACTCCACAAATTAAAAACAAATGTGGGCTCCATTTCTATAAGACTTTTTCACAGGATGAAGTAAAAGCAAATGCAAAAACCCAAACACAAAGGGAACCTGATCTGGAGGAATGAGGTCAGGCGTACACTGCTCCACCTTTGTGCTGCAAGGAACTCTGGGTAAATCTATCGATGCACAGTGTGTGTTTGAACAGCTGCACACGGGGAAGAGATTCTGAACACGAGGCATGTAGCGAGCGCACAGATGCACACACACACACACACACAGCTCATTCATGGACTTGGCATCCCGTTAACGCTCCGTTTCCTGGATGTAAGACGCTCCGCGGCCTCGCTCTCCACATCTGAAGTCTGGCCAGCGCTTTGTGACGGATTGTGTGGTAAAACGCCTTTATGATCAAAAACCTTGGCGGGGCTGAAGAGAGTCTTTTTGTGTGGGGAAAAGAAAGACTATGTTTTTCTGTGATCAGCCGTACTTTGAAGCAGAGGTGTAAATGAACTAAGTAGATTTACTCAAGTACTGTACTTAAGTAAAATGTTGAGGTACTTTGTACTTCTACTCCACTACATGTATTTAATACCTTTAGTTACTTCACAGATCTGGATGAATGATGTGAAATATAATCAAGTGTTGAATCAGACTTTAGTTCCACCTGGAGTAAATCCACCAGCTACCCTGCAGTATACAAAGTCATTCAAACTAGCTGCACCTTTACCAGCTTTGAGAACACTTTCATGATCAATCATTATAAAACATATCATATATATTATTCTGAAATGGACCAATCTGCACAACGACTACTTTCACTGTCGCTACTTTCACTATATTTTGATGAGAATACTTTCCTACTTTCACTTGAGGAACATTTTGAATGCAGGACTTTTACTGTAACAGAGTATTCCTACACTTTGGTACTTCTACTTTTACTCAAGTACAGGATCTGAGTACTTCTACTTTTACTCAAGAACAAGACCTGAGTACTTCTACTTTTACTCAAGAACAAGACCTGAGTACTTCTACTTTTACTCAAGTACTAGATCTGAGTACTTCTATTTTTACTCAAGTACAAGATCTGAGTACTTCTACTTTTACTCAAGAACAAGATTTGAGTACTTCTTTTACTCAAGTACAAGATCTGAGTACTTCTACTTTTACTCAAGTACAAGATCTGAGTACTTCTACTTTTACTCAAATACAAGATCTGAGTACTTCTTGCTACTCTGCTCTGAAGCTCTACAGGTGGCGAACACACCTTGGCACAGGATCCGGCTGTAAAACATCCACTGAGGGGGAGGCAGCGTGTCTGAGAGTGTGTATGTGTGTGTGTGTGTGTGTGTGTGTGTGTCTGTGTGTCTGTGTGTCTGTGTGTGTGTTCCAGTCTGCTGGCGTGAAGCCCGAAATCCTTACCTGACATTCTGACTCTCGATGGCCCCTCGAGAACCGTTGGGGCTCGGGCTCGGACTGCAAAACAAAGAGAAAACGGAGACGGGAAATAAATCTCTCTTGCTTTTATACCTAGTTTTATTTTATGTTCCGTCTAATTTATTTGACCGGAACCTCTTTCCTGTACTGTAGCACTCACTTTAGGACTAGGTGCAGGTTGGCGGAGAGGCGCGGGTCAGTGAACTGCGTGGTTCGGTTGTTGTGGTCGACAAAGTAGACCCTCCCGGTGGCTGTGTTTCGTATCTCCCATCCAGGAGGGAGAGGACCCAGCTCCTCACAGTTCACATTACTCAGGTCTCTGTGGAACAACACACAATAAAACAGTTATGTATCAAAAATAAAACTGAAACTGACTCAAATAATGTCTGTAACACAAGAGATTTTAACATTTTGTTCTACAACATAAATGCGATTTAACGTCATCACGCCCAACATTAGCCTCTTTTAGCTTAGCGGTGGTGACGTGAAGTCATGTGACCGTGCTGTAGTTCCTTTATAGCCCAACATTAGCCGCATTTAGCTTAGCGGTGGTGACGTGAAGTCATGTGACCGTGCTGTAGTTCCTTTATAGCCCAACATTAGCCGCATTTAGCTTAGCAGTGGTGACGTGAAGTCATGTGACCGTGCTGTAGTTCCTTTATAGCCCAACATTAGCCGCATTTAGCTTAGCGGTGGTGACGTGAAGTCATGTGACCGTGCTGTAGTTCCTTTATAGCCCAACATTAGCCGCATTTAGCTTAGCGGAGGTGACGTGAAGTCATGTGACCGTGCGGTAGTTCCTTTATAGCCCAACATTAGCCACCTTTAGCTTAGCGGTGGTGACGTGAAGTCATGTGACCGTGCTGTAGTTCCTTTATAGCCCAACATTAGCCGCATTTAGCTTAGCGGTGGTGACGTGAAGTCATGTGACCGTGCTGTAGTTCCTTTATAGCCCAACATTAGCCGCATTTAGCTTAGCGGAGGTGACGTGAAGTCATGTGACCGTGCGGTAGTTCCTTTATAGCCCAACATTAGCCACCTTTAGCTTAGCGGTGGTGACGTGAAGTCATGTGACCGTGCTGTAGTTCCTTTATAGCCCAACGTTAGCCACCTTTAGCTTAGCGGTGGTGACGTGAAGTCATGTGACCGTGCTGCAGTTCCTTTATAGCCCAACATTAGCCGCCTTTAGCTTAGCGGTGGGGACGTGAAGTCATGTGACCGTGCTGTAGTTCCTTTATAGCCCAACATTAGCTTTACTTCTTGAGATTGGATTCATGTTTCAGTTATAATAAAAGTGGTGTTAATATGTGGAGATAATCAAACATGTTTGTTTGAGACAGAGATTATTTCCGTCAATAATCCAAAATCCAATGGAAAAACCCCATTGGATTTTTGTCGAGGAAACAAGGAAGATGTTTATTTATAAAATAAGTTCCTCTTTGCAGGAGTGAATGTTTCAGTTGTTCTGATTCAGTTCACATTACTCGGATCTCTGCAGAAGTGCACACAATATAGCAGGAATGTATGAAAAATATCACAGGGTGGGACGGGGGGTCAAACAGAGACGAAGCCCACACATCATATTGGTTTTAAAACATACCAGAGCACTGACTAACTGCGAGATTCCGAGATGTCTGAGAGCTCACTTTTTTTAATTCAATTTTTCTTCTTCTTCCTCCCATCTAAATTATTTACTGCTGCCCTGCAACCCATTTCATCTGGACTCCATGGAGACAGCAGGCTCGCTCTTTGCTTTGCTATGCGCTGACTCTTCTGTATTTCGGGGGTTTTAAAGCCAAAAGGGGGACTCTGGAGCCTCACGAGCGATGACAGCTTGGCAGCGAATCGTTGGAGCGCCGGGCGAGGTGTGGCGTGACCAATACTCTCCCATCAAGAGCAATAAAAAGATCATCCATCACTCAAACGTTGAGAGAATGCAAGCAGCAGGCCAGGTTTCATAATATCTCTCCTCTATTATTGATAGCATCTGGCCCGAGGACTGTAGCGCTAGTCGTCCTTGTTTTTGAGGGACTTAGCATGGACGAAAACTTGCGAACATTTGCACAGACGTCAGGACAAGTGAACACTGGCTTGTTTGGAAAATTAGGTAAATAGGCTTGTTGTGGGGTTCGATATTTTGCCTTTAAAGACTAGCAAGATGAGTAAAAAGACATGGCCGTCATTAAATAAAACGTTGTTGCAGAAGAACCAGCATGTTCCCTATAAGCAAGCATCTAATTTACTTGAAATTTCGCACACATATTAAGCTAAATGAGCTCTACAAAAAAGCCTGATAGACCACTAAGCTCCGCCTACTTAGAAGTGTTGCTAATTAGCATAACGCATATATGTGGGCGGGGCTTATTTCGAGGAATATTTCTGGAAATATTTTTAGATACGAAACATGGTATTCTTGTTAAAACCAAGCCCCCAGGAAGTGCGCCGGACTCTGAGGAAAATATTCGTCGTAGCCAAACGGCGGTACTACACTTCCGTATCAGTCGCTGGGCCCGTAAATACTTTTTCCCATTGACTTACATTGGGAAAGAGACGTCTGTAAATCGTTGGATAATTTTTTTTAAACTAAATAAACTACCCAGTATGAACGTTTGTATAGCCCTTATTAAAAACATTTGGTCCTCATGTTGTAAAATGTGCTAATAACGTTATTCTGAGAGTTAATTTTCCTCGGCATTATGAACGCACATCTAACCCACGGGACCGAGCCGCCCGGCACGTTCATGTGACGTGTTCAGCACTACATGAGTTTTACCTTTACCCATGGATGCACAATAAGAACGGATTATATGAATATATGAATACTTTGGTGACGTTTCTCTCTCTCAAAAGTTGGGCCATTTTGTCTTCATGCGCCAATGAGCAACTCTCATAGGAATGAACGAGGCCCCGCCTCCCCGTGTATCCAGTTCTTATTATACATCCATGGTTAAAACCTGAACTTTGGTGAAATGTACAAAAATATTGTACATATGTGTTAAAGTTTCTCAGTAGCACCCCCTACTGTGTGATCGTAGCATATAGTTGCTCACTCACTGATAGAATGAAAGCAATAGGCCACGTATTTTAATATCAGACATATTTTATTGATATTATCTGGCCTGAGCTAAGCGCGTTAAGGTACTTGAGAAAACTTATAAAAAGTGTTATAACGATTGTTAAATGTGTGTTTGACTTATCTAGCATTAAATCTGAACGGCAGAGAACCAAATCGTTCAGAGCTCCGTGACTCGGGGCTCCTCTCGGCACGTCAGCTCGTAATCAGCTGCAGGTTTACGGTGAATTACAAGAGACCGTGACACGATCTGTGTGTGATGTCGGGTATGTCAGTACATTCAGGAGATGTGAGCATCTGTGGACAAACCGATTTCTCGAGAAAGCATTTTATTATTCCTGTGTTTTATATGTCACGCTTTATAAGGTGGATAGTAAAAGGAGAAAAACCATACAAAAGTGGCAACGGAAAAGTATGTTGAAATGTTCCTGTCAGTTTTTATATCGTGAAAGACAACTGTGACTAAATGTGATCATAACTCTTTTTATGACGTTAGACAAACTGGGATCCATATCAACATGCAATATCGTTGAAGAAAAAAGAGAGCCGACTAAAAGGTAGTTAAAAAAATAAAATATCTGCCGAATTCTCTCATTTATTATTAAGGCATATTTTTCTTTAGCATCCGTTTTTAATGCTAAATTGTTTCATAAAAATACGTATTTTTTATTATCCTTATACATTTCTTTTTTGACCTACTTTGCAACTTATTGTTTTAGATTGTTTATGTCCGCACCCCCAGATACCAAAGTAAATTCCTTGAATGTGTAAACGTACCTGGCAATAAACTTTCTGAAGCTCAGCGCAAGTTCAACCAGGAAGACCTACTTTACTCATTCATTTACTATTTCCATGTTACTACTCTCTCTCCTCTCAATAAGTGATCGGGGGCGTCACTCCCCAGCTTAACCAATCACTTCGCTCTATTCTCACAAGCCTATCATAGCGCTCTGCTAACCCTTTTTAATCTGCTCTCCCCTCTGACAGCTGTCATTTCAGGTGACTCGACGCAGCCCTCCTCCCCCCCTCTGAATCCAGGGTCAAGCTAAGCCCCTCCCCTTCAGACCGACCCCAACTATCCATTCACCACCACCAGTGTCAAGCTAAGCCCCTCCCCTTCAGACCGACCCCAACTATCCATTCACCACCACCAGGGTCAAGCTAAGCCCCTCCCCTTCAGACCGACCCCAACTATCCATTCACCACCACCAGGGTCAAGCTAAGCCCCTCCCCTTCAGACCGACCCCAACTATCCATTCACCACCACCAGGGTCAAGCTAAGCCCCTCCCCTTCAGACCGAACCCAACTATCCATTCACCACCACCAGTGTCAAGCTAAGCCCCTCCCCTTCAGACCGACCCCAACTATCCATTCACCACCACCAGGGTCAAGCTAAGCCCCTCCCCTTCAGACCGACCCCAACTATCCATTCACCACCACCAGTGTCAAGCTAAGCCCCTCCCCTTCAGACCGACCCCAACTATCCATTCACCACCACCAGTGTCAAGCTAAGCCCCTCCCCTTCAGACCGACCCCAACTATCCATTCACCACCACCAGTGTCAAGCTAAGCCCCTCCCCTTCAGACCGAACCCAACTATCCATTCACCACCACCAGTGTCAAGCTAAGCCCCTCCCCTTCAGACCGAACCCAACTATCCATTCACCACCACCAGTGTCAAGCTAAGCCCCTCCCCTTCAGACCGACCCCAACTATCCATTCACCACCACCAGGGTCAAGCTAAGCCCCTCCCCTTCAGACCGACCCCAACTATCCATTCACCACCACCAGTGTCAAGCTAAGCCCCTCCCCTTCAGACCGACCCCAACCATCCATTCACCACCACCAGGGTCAAGCTAAGCCCCTCCCCTTCAGACCGAACCCAACTATCCATTCACCACCACCAGGGTCAAGCTAAGCCCCTCCCCTTCAGACCGACCCCAACTATCCATTCACCACCACCAGGGTCAAGCTAAGCCCCTCCCCTTCAGACCGACCCCAACTATCCATTCACCACCACCAGTGTCTAGACCCCGGGGGGTTTCATCGGATCGGGTCTCCCCTCCCGAATGATACTCCCGCACAACGGGGCCTAATCACCAAAACTCCATTACATTCATTTGTGTATTCCTGGCAATAAATATGTGTTCTTTCATCAACACCGTCTCTCCTGATTGAAGTCTTATTCTGAATGACTCACAAAATTAAAAGAGAAAACATTGACTTTAGTAGTCAGACTGACTCTACCACGGCTGCCTTACAGACTCTGACAACAGGAAGTACGTACCGTGGGACTCGGGGGTCGTGCCACGTGCTGACGCCCGTCTGCGTGTGCAGGAAGTACACCTGACCCTGCTGCGTGGTCCTCTGCTCTGTAGGGACACACAAACATCACAATATTAGATATAAGAATCTGATCGTACAGTGAATACAAAAGCCTGATGTCAAGCAGGAGTAGTGGAATATAGGTAGGGTGACCAGATGTCCTGCTTTGCGCGGGACTGCACAGCATTTTCACGACTTTTGGTGCGTCCCGCAAATTGAGACGATGTCCCGCATATTTCACACGGCGGGTGCTGGTCAAGTGATTAACCAATGAGAGTAACTCACTCACACACACCCCCCCCCGCGGCCCCGCCAAACAACAACAACGAAAGTCAGTCAATAACGCAGGCGACGCAGCAGGTTATGGAAAATGGAGGAAACTGAAACTACAGCTAAGAAGAAAAGAAGATGCACATACAACAAAGACTGGGAAGACACGTACCCGCGGGTGAAGCCGGTGCAGGGCGACTCTCAGAGAGATTTTTGCAATCTTTGCAAGAGTAATTTTTCAATTTCACATGGCGGTGAATACGACGTCAAAAGACACCGAGAATGCGATTATCACAAGAAACGTGTCTCTCAAAAAGAGACATCTCACTCTATGGAGACATTCCTACTCAAACCAAAAAATGATGGCCACTCAGACAAGGTAACAGCAGCAGAAATAACCAGTGTTACCATAGTGACTGTGGTAACAAGCTAGCGCCGACCATTTTTCCAGACTCTGATATAGTAAAGAAAATGTCATGTGGTCGTACAAAAGCAGCGTCCATAATAACAGATGTGCTTGCCCCTGCCTCTGTGGAGAGTTGTTTGACAGAGTTAAAGACACCAGTGGTTCGAGGTGACAAAATAGCCCACACACTGTGGGGGGGGGCTGTGATGGACACAACTGAAAGCTATTTTATTTTATGTATTATGTTTTTGTTCCCTCCTGGCCAGTTTTGATTTGTACTTATGGTTTTATTTGATCTATTAATTTACGTTGTGCCTAATTTTACAGGTAATACACTAGTTGAATTAGGAAGATGCATTTCTAAACACGTGAAGTGAATAATGCCTGCTGCCTTGGTTAGCCTTAGTTTACTTTTGCTTTATTAAGAGATACACAATTGTTACTGCATTTTGACTTTCTGTCATTGTCTATTGGATGCTGTTGAATAACCCAAGTGAAATAGCAATAGAGATTTTTTTCCCGGGGGGGGGGGGGGGGGGGGGGGGGTGAGAGGGTGTCCCACATTGTCCCACACAAACATACTCCACTGGTCACCCTAACTATAGGAAGTGGAAGTACTGGACCTCCTACCACTGTTACACTGAATACAATTTAGAAAAGTGTGCAAGTTAAGTCTGCACTGTTATTTTGTATATTGATTGTTGTGCTTTTATTTAGGTCTTAATGTGTGTATATGTATAAATGTGTCTGTTGATTGTGTATATATAGCAGGGGTGCCCAACCAGTCGATCGCGACCAGTCGATGAAAATGATAAGCACAAAATATATCATTTTCACTCCGAGTGGGAGTGTGACAAAGGTAACTTCGTAATATTGCACATGTGGTTTAGTTTGAAAGTGTTTCCCCTCCCGTTTTGTCTGTGGCTGGTGATTGTGTTCACCTGGTGCCCTGTGTTGTTTCCTCCCCCCCACCTGTGTCTTATTGGCCTGATTAGTGTGTGTGTATTTAGGCTCTGTTTTCCCTGTCAGTGGGCAGGTAGTGAGTGTGAGATCCTTGTGGCTGCTGACTGTGTTCAGGTGGACAGCAATTGAGTGCCCATGATTTGAATAAATGCCCACGCCGGGTTGTATTTGGACGTTCTGCCTCCTTGCTTGGTCGGGCCGCTCAACGTCAGCTTCACAGGGAGGATGATTATTTTTTTGTTTATTCCAATTCAAAGTAGGGGTGCAACAACTAATCGACTTAATCGATTAAAATCGATCACCAAATTAATTCAGTCGTCGATTCGTTGGTGACGTCATCACGTGTGTTTTACGCGCCGTTAAGCTCCAACGTTATCGGTCTTTTTATCGGTACTGGAGACATTTAAAAAATATATGTCATGTATTATTGCTACATAAACATTATGTCGCAGTCTTAGTGTCGCCAACTCGTTTCTAATATGCAAAAAGACAAACATGGTGTATTTTCGATCTCTCTCCCGTCTGTGTGCGAGGGGGCGGGGCAGTTCACACACACGCAGCTGCTACATGCAGCAACACACGGAGGAGATGGCGGAGAGAACGCGCTCCGAGGTGGTTAAACTTTACCCGTCTCGATGCTCGTTACCTAAAGTGCAATAAGAGTTTAGCATGTAAGGGCGGCAACACGAGCAATGTGTCTAAACATTTATCAAAAGTGCTCCACATCCAGACGGAGGAATGCACCGGGTTCCACTGTCTTTCTAGCAGCTCTGTAGCCCCGCCCCCATCCACGAGGAATTTAATAATATATGTATTTTTGAATCAAGTATTCATCTTTATTGTCTTGTTAGTTTCCACATGCCTAAAACAACCTCAAGCGAAATCTAAAAGTTGATGGCTAAATAAGAGCGTTTGAGAAATTGTGCAAGGCGTACAGTAATAGTCCGAATAGTCGATTAATCGTTTCATTAATCGATAGATTAATCGATTATCAAATGAGTCGTTTGTTGCAGCCCTAATTCAAAGTCCATCTGTCTCATCTGCAATGCGAGCGTGGCTTTACCGAAGAAGGGTAATTTAGAGCATTTCAAAACGGTGCACAAACGCTACGAGATGGAATTCTGCCCTACTTCGTTGCGTGCACATGTAACAGAGTTAAACATGTGAATACTTAATTATAAGTTTGTGAATGTTTAATTCATAATAGGTTGTGAATTTTAAGAGATGAGATTGTTTCATTTACTATTTTAAGTTTTGTTTCCCGTGGGAACACCTTCACGTCTTTGATTACTTCCGGTATGTATTTTCCACCCTCCGCGGACTGGCCATCTGTAGAATCTGGAGAATCACAGAACAGCTGGTCGTCAAGGGCCGGCTCGTTCGCTGACGGCCGTCACCGCTCTGAATTTTTTATGTTTTTAAATGGCATGATTGAAGTTGCACCGACAGAGGTCCACCGTGTCCCCGCAGCGAGGCTCCCCCCCAGTTGACAGTTCGCTAGCACCCCCCCCCCAAAGGTTGGACACCCCTGATATATAGGATGTACATATTTTTATATATATTTGTTTTTATATTCGGGATTGTGGGAAACTGTATTTCGATCTCTGTCTGTACACACAAACTGAAAGATTGACAATAACGTTGACTTTAATCCCGTTACAATATCTAGGGTCCCTGATGTCTGCCAGGAAGATTGTAGATGCTTGATTGAGTTTTGAAGGCGCCGCTGCAGTGGAAACATGCAACTGTTCGGCAGTCAGGCTCCAGCTCTGAACTCAAAGAGCTTCTGTGTCTCTGGCTCCTTAAATCCTGCACACATCTCACTGTGAGCTTGTTTGCTCTCACATGAAAGCTTGTGATTGTCTGACTGTGTGCAGAGAGCAGCACAGAGGCCGTTAACAGCCAGATCAATTCAATTAGATTGTCTCAAATGGAGCCAGTATTTCAGGCTCCTATGTGTGGCGCTGAATGAGCACACAGATTAGAGTTAGCATCGCAATAACCACAGCGCTCAGGGGGAAGTGGAGATGGCTTTCATGGAGGATGAAACCCTGGCTAGAGCAATCAGAATATTAAATATTGATCCGTCTTAAGACATACAGTATTCATAGCAGAGTGTCTCCAAACTTATTTCAGATATCCTCACTGAACTCAATGACCTCATCTCCACCATTACGACACAACATATTACAACTGGAAGTAAAGAAATGCATCTTTCCTCTCCAGTTAAATCTCACTCAATGTCTCTCCAGGAAGACGGGTATTTATTTATCTTGCATTGTGACTAACTTTGGTTCATGTGTTTCTAAACTGTGTATAAAGCAGACTGTCTTCTGTGTAAACACTAACGTAGGCTGGCGTATTAAAGCCTTGACATTATTCGTTAGCCGAGCGCTAATGAACCCAAAAAAACAGTCAGTAAACAATAATTTTAAAGGTTGTTTGCTCGCATTCTTGCACACAGACCTGAAAAAGCATGAATTTATTTAAATGGCATTATTATGTAGTTATATTGGCATACTTTTAAACAATTTATTTTAATTAAATCACAGCAAATGTGTTTTTTTGGGTCCATACAGCTGTAGTTCACTCGGTTTATTCAGCAGATGTTTGACTGTAGCAGAAATAGTTGTTACTTTACGCCTTGGTTGTTAAAATGTTGTTTTTCTTGTAAGGCTTGTTTTGACCTCATGTCCATGGACAAGCAATAATGTTTAATTAAGTCTCTAGAATAATCTCTGCAGCTCCAAATATCAGAGATTTTCACATATTTTATTTCAGTAGCCCATTATTACTCCACGTCTCTCTGATCCTCACTCACCGTATCCCTCGGGGAGGTCGGGGGGGGTGTGCAGGTGGGTTCTGCTCATGTAGTTGCGGTGCCTCTGAGATCGGACCCGCCTCTCCTGGGCTCGCTGCTCCCCGTTGATTGGCTGCGGGATCGTGGTGGGCGTCGCCCCGTTGGTGGTGACCGGCGTGTTTTCATCCACGATGCAGCTGAGAGGCCGGCCGGGGCTCGAGTACTCTGACGCCGGCCTGAGGGGAGAGGGGGAATAATGTCACGTTATCGATATTGTGATGATATTATAGAGTGGTGCTCGGATCACGTATTTTTGTAGGACGACCAGAAGTTAGCATCTACGTGGTTCCCTCCACAAAACATCACTTCTGAAGTAAAAAGCTATAAAGGAACTACAGCACGGTCACATGACTTCACGTCACCACCGCTAAGCTAAAGGAGGCTAATGTTGGGCTATAAAGGAACTACAGCACGGTCACATGACTTCACGTCACCACCGCTAAGCTAAAGGTGGCTAATGTTGGGCTATAAAGGAACTACAGCACAGTCACATGACTTCACGTCACCACCGCTAAGCTAAAGGCGGTTAATGTTTGGCTATAAAGGAACTACAGCACGGTCACATGACTTCACGTCACCACCGCTAAGCTAAAGGAGGCTAATGTTGGGCTATAAAGGAACTACAGCACGGTCACATGACTTCACGTCACCACCACTAAGCTAAAGGCGGCTAATGTTGGGCTATAAAGGAACTACAGCACGGTCACATGACTTCGCGTCACCACCGCTAAGCTAAAGGAGGCTAATGTTGGGCTATAAAGGAACTACAGCACGGTCACATGACTTCACGTCACCACCGCTAAGCTAAAGGTGGCTAATGTTGGGCTATAAAGGAACTACAGCACGGTCACATGACTTCGCGTCACCACCGCTAAGCTAAAGGCGGCTAATGTTGGGCGCGATGATGTTTAGTCGTCTCATTAAGACACTTGTTAGCAACCTCCGTTTTTAAATCCACCAGTGGGGAATTCACTGACGTATTTTATGTTGTAGAACAAAACGCTAAAATCTCTTCAGCTTGTGTTCACCACAGACCTTATATCAGGATAACAACCAAAACATTTAAACTCAAAAACCTTAGATCTGAGGGAAAAGCAAGTGCTCAAATGCCGTCTAACTTCCAAGATTTAGGACTCCAACCACTCCGGAAGACCTTTAAGCATCGATAATGAGATATTTCTGACTAACTAGATGAAGACAAACAGTAGAAAAGCTACCAGTGTTAAAAAGAAAGCGTATAAGACGGTGTTAAATGAGAGATCTCTTCAAACAGAAGCTAATCAATAGGCTGCATTTAGGAAGTCTTCAGGTGCTAAATGGGAAATCCATACTCCTGCAACCGCCTGAGATATGAGCCGATAAAAATAAAACATGGATAAAGAGACGGAGACGGAGCGGGGGAAGATCTCCCTCCTCTTCGTCTCCTCTCCTCTTCCTCTCCTGTCAGATCCGTGACCTGCTGGCTCTTCCGCATCATTAAACACCGTCTGGAGCGCTCTGTCTGACACCTCCGCTTTCTTTTTATGTTCTTTGGAGAAATCTACTCTAGTCTGAGAGCACTGAGGTCAGGGATCGTCTATCCGCCTGTTCCTGCAGAGTGTCTCTCACCTGGTGGGCCTCTCCCACTGCGTGGTGCGTGTGATGTGGTTCAGATACTGGATCCTCCCTGACGCCGTCCTCCTCTCCTCCCAGCTGCAGCACAAACATACAGGCAGTGAGAAGATGGATCACAAGATCACAAATACTAGTCTGTACTTAGATTTTGGGGGAGATGAAAGCAATGAACAACTGGTAAGAGACATCAGATAACATGATTTCAGAATGGACGGCAAGAAGTCCGATCATTTCCTTTCATTTGCTTCTTAACAATAAGTGCCGTTGCTATTTGTGATGAGGTCTGACGCTGCACCACGGAGGTGTCAATGGACAGTCATCATATATATATATAAGCAAAGTCCCTATGGATTTTGCTACCACCGCAGAAGCTCCTTAATTATGAATGAAAACTGTCAAAACTACGAATAAAAGATGTTTAGAAATAAAATACTGAAATTACTCTCAAAGTGTTAACGTTGGCGTTACCTGAATTAAAGCATTATGGCCCCTGATATATTAAAGACCAAGAAAGCAGCAAAAAACGTTTTTAAAGAAAGACATTTTATCTGATCTTTGTGGACTCTGTAGCGTGTGCAAAGATTCTGTTACTATTGTTTTTTTCTGTGGCAATTGTTGTTAAACCTGTTAATTGTTAAGTCAAATGGAAAACAGGTTTAATTCAACGCTGGCTTTAATGCCCACAGAGACGTTATAATCCGTACATCTCCCCCTGTACCTGAACATTCAGGGTGCTCTAGATAAACTCCGTGTGAGACGATGAGAGATTTCTCCAGAGCCACTCACCCGTCTGGGAGATCGTTGTCGAACAGCTGGCTGCAGTCCACCAGCGGGCCGCCGGAGCTGATCCGGTCCCTGGACTGCAGGCTGACTGCAGAACACACACAGATGCACACACACACATTACTACACACACCTTACTACACACACCTTACTACACACACATTACTACACACACCTTACTACACACACCTTACTACACACACCTTTACTACACACACCTTACTACACACACATTACTACACACACCTTACTACACACACCTTACTACACACACATTACTACACACACCTTACTACAGACACATTACTACACACACCTTACTACACATGCCGTTACTACACACACACACATTACTACACACACACACGTTACTACACACACACGTTACTACACACACGTTACTTAATACACCATTACTACACACACACACACACACATTACTACACACACGCACGTTACTACACACACCATTACTACACACACGTTACTACACACACCCATACTACACACACGTTATACACACACCATTACTACACACACACACATTACTACACACACCGTTACTACACACACACACACACATTACTACACACACCATTACTACACACACACATGTTACTACACACACACATGTTACTACACACACACACCATAGGTTACTACACACACTATTACTATCAAATAATTGATTTCAAAACACAGTTGCTGGTCCATCGATAGATAGATCGATAACTTTACATAAAATAGGACATTTTGGGATATTTTTGTCTTTTTTTTTACTATACTGTGATTTTTACATATTTTCCGAAAAAACGATATTATGCTCTTTTTAATTAATATTTTCAACGTATCAATTTTTACATATTTACATATTTACATGTACTAAACTATTCATTTTTTTAATTTCTAAACTAAGTGTTAATTTTGTGAGTTTTTCTGTTGTCTTTACTCGTTATTTCTTGCTGAAAGAAAGAGTGGCTATTTAAATTAATTTAGACGTTTTTGGTCAGATATTTTAATCTGATCATATTGAGCTTTTTCTAGTTTAGCTAAAATATCACCTTGTTTCTTTCCCCCCGTCCCCAATGTTGTTGTTGTTAACATTAACCCAAGCAAGCATCACCAAAAACTGACCTTCTGCATTTAAAATACGATATGTCATCCCCTTTTATTTTTCGAAAAATTAAGATGTTCTACTTTAAACCTAAATTTGTGTTTTTTTCAATCCTAATTTGTGTTTGATGTCCTTTGTGCCGCCTCGTCATCCTCTTGTCTCAACGATGTGTAAAGAAAGGTTCATTTACGATCATATTTCATCATAGATTTTCATTTTATACATGGGAGGCGTGTGGCGCAGTGGGTTGTGTTGGGATCATGGGGTCACAGGTTCAAACCCCGCTGCAGTCAGCATGTCGTTGTGTCCCTGAGACCCCAAAGTGCTCCTGTGGGGATTGTCCACAGTATTGAGTATGTAAGTCGCTTTGGATAAAAGCGTCAAACAAGTGACATGTAATGTAATATAATATATATATATATGTGCCTCGTCGCAGAAACAAAACAGAGCATGGAAAACCATTAGAAGCTGCATGAGAGGAATGTCAAAGCTACGAATAAAAGATGACAAGATAATTTTAAGGAAAACACTGTAATGACATTAAAATAGTTAACCTTGGCTTTCACTTTGTTTGCTTTTGCTGTAAACGCTGCCCATTAGCAGTCAGTATACCACCTCTCTGAATATTTAATACAAAGTGACAACATGCTGCTCATCTGACCTCATGCTGCAAGGTTTTTGTGCAACTTTTATTAGAATTTCTCTTAAAGTGGACCTATCATGCTATATTGGAAACATATATTGTAGGGCCATACCTATACAAAACATGTCTGTTAAGTTTTTTGTTCAAAATACCAAACAGATCCCCCATTGTAGCCATGCCTCATACTGCTCATACCCCTCTTTTGCAGCCCTGTTAGAGAAACGCGGATTTTGGGCCCTTAAAAAAAGAGGAGGCGGAGCTAATGCCTGATCAGAATTCTACCGGAGATAAAGTTAAATTCTGCTGTGATAAAACGCCATCCTGTTCTAAACCACATCAAAGATTATTTCTGAAACAGTATGGAGCTCAAATGCTTTTTCTCTTGCGGGTTTATCACAAGGTGAGTTCCTTTTTTATTTCCTGCTTTTTAAACACATGCTCTCCAGTACAGGTTAGCTCTGAGTGTTAGCGAGGCTTGCTAATGTAAACAAAGACGAGATTACGTCCAAAACACGTCAGGCATTGTTTCTGATAGCAACTTTCTGTGGGTCCACCATCCGAAATTACGTCATATCGGCCGCAAATCTGTATCCGCTCGTTTTTAGAGATTTGGGTATGGAGGAAAAGAGGGAGGGTTTTATTTTCTGACGCTGCGTGAGTTCCCCGACGCACCGGGGACACATGTTTATGTATAAAAGACAAGTGCATTTTGCATGATAGGTCCCCTTTAAAGTGGCTGTTTTTCCTCCATCTGTTAGTGACACTAAATGCATCCTTGTTTGGCATTTAATAATCAATTTCTTACACAATTAATGTATATATAATATCCTGTTTTATATTTTGTTACTCTAAATGTATGTATATGTTATACTTTTTTAATGCTATTTTATTTCTATTTGAGATGTTTAAATTGTGGATTGTTTATTTCTAGTCTTTTAATTTCTTTAATGTACTGCCTGTCTTTTTACGCTGCTGCAACGCAAACATCTCCCAAATTGGGATCAATAAAGTACTTCTTATATTATCAGATCTTATGTCCTTCTGCACTCACCCACTATCTGCCCTCTGACCGTGTCGCTGTCGCTGGGACTCAGCTTGTTCAGATCTAGTCTCTGATCTGTGGAGAGAGGACAGAAAGAAGAAGGGAAAAACAAAGAGAGACAAACAGGAAATTAGAAGAAAATAGGAGAGAGGTTTCATTAGATTTACATTTAAACTAGTATGTCCTGAAAAGGGAATTTCAATGTCAGTGTATCCATCTAATCGGAGATGTAATAAAGTTAGACTAAATGTACAAATATACAATATGCAAGACAAAATGTAGAATAAGCAATAAACAGTCTCAATAGGCGCTTTCACACCGGAGTACTTTTCCCAGTATACTTCCGATAGTTCCTGGGATTTTGCGTTCACACTACTTTCCTGGGGAGGAAAAAGGTTCTAATTTCTGATTGGCTGGGCGAATTGCAAACCACGCCCCGTAAAACTCTGAAAAGTTTTTGTGAAGCCGCCATTTTATTTCCTTGCATTAGCATTAGCCCAGCGCACCAACGGAGAGAGACTAACTTATGGCAACACAAAAGAAAACATGGGAGCGGTGGAGTGATGAGGAGGTGTCGGTGTTCTGGCGATTTACTCGGAAGGCTTCAAGACAAAAACTGGAAGTACTGAAATATTAAATCTTTTCCAGGTTTTAGGACTCATTCCTGCACCACGCTATGGGATGATGCTTTTACAAAATGTTAAGAAAAGTAGTAGTTTGATAAATAATCATCAGTAATGTTTAACCACAGACTCTAGTTCAGGCTTACAACAAAAACAGATTCAGAAAACCATTGACTTCCAGACAAGGGAAGCAGAAGTGGTAAAATGCTGACTAACTTCCGTGTTTTAGGACTCATTCCTGCACCACTGTATGGGATGAAGCTTTTACAAAATATTTACACAAGGAGTATTTTGATAAATAATCATCATTAACATCTCTTCAGCTTTAGTTAACCACAGACCTTAAAACACACTCAGAAAACCATTCACTTCCAGACAAAAACCCGGAAGTACTGAAATGCTAACTCTTTTCCGGGTTTAAAGACTCATTCCTGTACCACTCTATGGGATGATGCTTCCACAAGATCACTAAAATATCATAACCACAGGCCTTATCTCTGGCTAAAAAACAAAAACACACTCAGAAAACCATTGACTTCCAGGCGAGGGAAGCAGAAGTGGTAAAATGCTGACTAACTTCACGGTTTTTGAACATAGATTAAACAACCAGCCAAACTCTTTTGAGAGCCAGGGAATGAGCAGCCATGCTCCTTTATTGACTTATTTGCAGTCCACTGACATTCAAACAGAGTGAAACTATAAAAAAAGAAGTTACAGGCACTTAAGGATCTCATACATGCAAGTGTAACATACACAGATTAACACATAGGACCGCTAAGTGTAAACAAGGTAAATATAGCCAATGCTAGCTGTACAAAAAGCATGTATACAGGCTAGTATGGCTAACGCTAGCATGTATGCTAACGCTACCGTGTATGCTAACGCTAACGCGAATGCTAATGCATTTTCTCATTGAGTTTAAACATTTCCACATGTCATCACATAAATACAATACATGTTACTAATCCTTACAGTGTAAGTGTAAGGCTCACACTTTCTGACGGACTTGACCCTTTTACTCTTCAGGTTGCATAGGGAAAATTATTAGCAGTCTATTCATCGATGTCTACTGCCATGCTATTCAGTTCACTTTCTCCTACTTCCTGTACCCGGTTTCCTGTCTAACCTTCAGTACACATTTTACAAAAAATTATAAATGTGCAAATATGAAACATACAGGTCAAAATCACCTTGCTATTGGTAGCTGAACTGTCAATACCCCAACACATATTCTTAGATATAAATACCTACTTTTGAATTATTTAGACACAATTAACACTTATAGTTTCATGTCTTGTTGTTACATAAGAATATATCATATTTGTTAAGTGTTATTATGGGAGAATTACTGTTCTTGTGCTACTACTGCCTTATTAGGCCCATATTGAGCAGCGCATATTAAGACCAAAACTCATGTACAACAACGTCCGTACTTGCAATAAATAAGCACTAATTAGAGTGTTATTGAGATAAAACTCAACTAATGGCTTATTACTTGTAGAATATGGTCATGTAGAATAAGGCATTAATAAGTGTTTTATAATGACTAATAAAGAGCCAATATACTGCTAATATGCATGTTAATTAACAACTAGTTGATGGTTAATTTGTGTACCTTAATATAAAGTGTTACCAATCTCTTAACCACAGACCTTATCTCAGGCTAAAAACCAAAAACACGTTCAGAAAACCATTGACTTCCAGACAAAAAACAGATGTACTGAAAACCTTTTCCTGGTTTTAGGACTCATTCCCTCACAACTCTATGGCATGATGCTTTTACAAAATATTTACACAAGGAGTATTTTGATAAATAATCATCAGTAAAATCTCTTAACCACATTTCAGGCTAACAACCAACAATTGGCTTCCAGACGAGAGAAGCAGAAGTGGTAAAACGCTGACTAACTTGCATGTTTTAGGACTCATTCCTGCACCACAGTATAATTTACATCCCCCCCCCCCCTGTCTGCAGACCACAGCTTGGCTCTGCCTGGGAACAGATGGCTGGTTTTTGTGGAACAGCCACGGGTTGTAAAAATCTCACTGAGCGTCGGTACAGAGCCGGCTTCAGTTCAAATGCAGAGGTCAAACATTTGACAAATTTCCGTACAAAGCCTGCACTATTCCACTCAGTCTTAGCATGGACATGAACTTCTGCCAAAGTCTGGAAACTCTTTGTCTGAACTTCTTAAAGTCTGCGGAATTTGAGAGTGAGGGAGAAAGAGAGATCAGGCAGAGAGGGAAAAAAAGAAGAAACGGAGCTAAAAAAAACCTCCAAGCTGCCTGCAGACATGAGAAATGGCACTATCTGCGCTCTGTTGTCTGGGTGTCATGCAGATCAGCTCAGGATGTATGTCTAGACTAAACAACGACCGAACCAGGCAGCGGTCAAACTGAGGGTCAGCCGCCGCAGAGAAAACACACAGAAACATGTCTCAAGAGGAATCACTCTGAGATGCATCGAAGTACAGATGTTTCAATGCACACAAATAAAGCACTAGAGTGGTGCAGCGATGAGTCCTAAAACACAGGAATTAGTCAGCGTTTTAGCATTTTTGGGTTCCCTGGTCTGGAAGTCAATGGATTTATGAGTGTGTTTTTGGTTGTTATCCTGAAATAAGGTCTGTGGTTAACACAAGCTTAAGAGATTTTAATGTTTTGTTCTGCGACACAAAATATGTCAGTAAATTACCCACTGGTGGACTTAAAAACGTTGGTAGCTAACAAGTGTCTAAATGAGACGACTAAACATCATCACGCCCAACATTAGCCACCTTTAGCTTAGCGGTGGTGATGTGAAGTCATGTGACCGTGCTGTAGTTCCTTTATAGCCCAACATTAGCCACCTTTAGCTTAGCGGTGGTGATGTGAAGTCATGTGACCGTGCTGTTGTTCCTTTATAGCCCAACATTAGCCTCCTTTAGCTTAGCGGTGGTGATGTGAAGTCATGTGACCGTGCTGTAGTTCCTTTATAGCCCAACATTAGCCACCTTTAGCTTAGCGGTGGTGCTGTGAAGTCATGTGACCGTGCTGTAGTTCCTTTATAGCCCAACATTAGCCACCTTTAGCTTAGCGGTGGTGACCTGAAGTCATGTGACCGTGCTGTAGTTCCTTTATAGCCCAACATTAGCCACCTTTAGCTTAGCGATGGTGACGTGAAGTCATGTGACCGTGCTGTAGTTCCTTTATAGCCCAACATTAGCCACCTTTAGCTTAGCGGTGGTGACGTGAAGTCATGTGACCGTGCTGTAGTTCCTTTATAGCCCAACATTAGCCACCTTTAGCTTAGCGGTGGTGACGTGAAGTCATGTGACCGTGTTGTAGTTCCTTTATAGCCCAACATTAGCCACCTTTAGCTTAGCGGTGGTGACGTGAAGTCATGTGACCGTGCTGTAGTTCCTTTATAGCCCAACATTAGCCACCTTTAGCTTAGCGGTGGTGACGTGAAGTCATGTGACCGTGCTGTAGTTCCTTAATAGCCCAACATTAGCCTCCTTTAGCTTAGCGGTGGTGACGTGAAGTCATGTGACCGTGCTGTAGTTCCTTAATAGCCCAACATTAGCCGCCTTTAGCTTAGCGGTGGTGACGTGAAGTCATGTGACCGTGCTGTAGTTCCTTTATAGTCTTTTCCTAGAAGCCCCCTGACAATTATGTTTTCCTGGAGCGACACAGGAAACCTGAACCTTGTACCACAGCTGTGAGTGGTTTGCCTCTGCATTTCCTCTCTCTGCTGGCCTCCTCCTCACCCCGTTAGTTTCTCCGTTAGTTTCTCCTCTCAGTTTCCTCCGCAGACTGGCAGCATGTGTTCAAACACACACAACATGCCCTTGTGACTAACCTCCCTCTATCTCCGTCTGCCGATCTAGACAACCGGTCATTTCAAGCAGACATGCATAATTGTAGAGCCATTAAAGTGTAAGCGTAGATTTCTTGTGTTCTCTCTGTTGTGGAGTGTTTGTCTTTCTTTTGTTTTGTGCGTTTTCTAGCCGTCGCAGTTATGCCCCCCTGTTGAGAGGTCATTGGGTTGATTCAGACATTTTTGTTTAATTGTAAAGCTTCTTGAGTTCACTGTAACATTTTTGCACAAAGAAGGATGCAGGGATGATGTATTTGTGTAAGCTGACCTTGAAGGTAGCATCTCCCTGGTTCCCTCCACCAAAAGCCAATGGGATTTCTCCATTGGATTTTTGCAGAAAACAAGTGTTACATTTATGATACTTACACGTTTTGTTCAGCAGGATAATCTCCACATATTAATGGCACTATTATACTTGAAGTGTAAATGCATCTCGAGAAGTAAAAAGCTAACGTTATGCTATAAACAAACTACACGACGGTCACATGACAACACCGCTTAGCTATGTTTGGCTTGATTGTGTTTATTTGTCCTTTTTAGCCAGTTGTTAGCAACCGCAGTTTTTTTCTTGACGCTTATTATTAACCACAGACCTTATCAGGCTAACAACCAAAAACACATTCAGAAAACAATTGACTTCCAGACAAGGGAAACAGAAGTGGCAATGTTGACTCATTTCAGGGTTTTAGGACTCATTCCTGCATATGTCACATGGTTCCTTCCACTGGCGACCATCTCGAGTTTAATTTAGCTAAAACATTTCAGTAATGTAATAATAAGAAGGCAGTAATACTGTCTTTAAAGCGGTGGGATTATACGATGTCTACAAACCCTCCAGCTCCAAAAGCTACTGCTTTAACTAAGAGCCATTTACCAAAGCCTCTGCCTCATTTATCCAGTTAGCTTCTGACATTTGTACTGTAATTGCAGGGTGATGCTGATTGGCTCTTCCTGTTCTGGCAGAGTGTTGACCCCCCTCTACAGGCCTGGCCTTTGTCAGGATTCTAAAAAGGAGCGACTCTATGTTCTGTCACTTAGGCCAAACCCCTGCTTCTTATCACACTACAGGAATAAAGCTGGCTTGATGGATGCTGCCTCATTGACCAGAGAGAGGTGAAGGGGTGAAGTATTTTTTGTAGGCTGACCCTGAAGATAGCATCTCCCTGGTTCCCTCCACAAAAAATCAATTGGATGATTGCAGAAAATAATCTCTGTGTCAAACAAACGTTCATGATACTTACACGTTTAGTTCAGCAGGATAATCTCCACATATTAACACCACTTTATGATTTCTGATGTTGGGCTATAAAGGAACTACAGCACATGACTTCACGTCACCACCGCTAAGCTAAAGGCGGCTAATGTTGGGCTATAAAGGAACTACAGCACGGTCACATGACTTCACGTCACCACCGCTAAGCTAAAGGCGGCTAATGTTGGGCTATAAAGGAACTACAGCACGGTCACATGACTTCACGTCACCACCGCTAAGCTAAAGACGGCTAATGTTGGGCTATAAAGGAACTACACTACGGTCACATGACTTCACGTCACCACCGCTAAGCTAAAGACGGCTAATGTTGGGCTATAAAGGAACTACAGCACGGTCACATGACTTCACGTCACCACCGCTAAGCTAAAGGAGGCTAATGTTGGGCTATAAAGGAACTACAGCACGGTCACATGACTTCACGTCACCACCGCTAAGCTAAAGACGGCTAATGTTGGGCTATAAAGGAACTACACTATGGTCACATGACTTCACGTCACCACCGCTAAGCTAAAGATGGCTAATGTTGGGCTATAAAGGAACTACAGCACGGTCACATGACTTCACGTCACCACCGCTAAGCTAAAGACGGCTAATGTTGGGCTATAAAGGAACTACACCACGGTCACATGACTTCACGTCACTAACGCTAAGCTAAAGACGGCTAATGTTGGGCTATAAAGGAACTACACTACAGTCACATGACTTCACGTCACCACCGCTAAGCTAAAGGTGGCTAATGTTGGGCTATAAAGGAACTACAGCACGGTCACATGACTTCACGTCACCACCGCTAAGCTAAAGGCGGCTAATGTTGGGCTATAAAGGAACTACAGCACGGTCACATGACTTCACGTCACTAACGCTAAGCTAAAGGCGGCTAATGTTGGCGTTTAGTCATCTCATTTATACACTTGTTAGCAACTGCTGTTTTAAAATTCACCATTGGGGTATTTACTGACGTATTGAATGTCGTAGCACAAACCGTTAAAAAATCTTCAGTTTCACAGACCTTATTTAGGGCTTCTAACGAAACAACACATTCAAAAAACATTGATTTTCCAGAAGAGGCAACAAAGAAGTGCTAAAAGGCCAACTAATTTCCTGGTTTTGGACTCATTCCTGTACCACTCTATATAAGACATGGTTCCTTCCTTACATAGACTCATATAGCTAAAGACATTTGTGGTAGTAATAATAATAAAAGGAGTAATACTGACACTTACAGCCCGTGTCTTTGAGGCGGTTGATGGCGTTGGAAAGCAGGCGGACGCAGCCCAGGAACCCGGCTCCTTGCTTCTTGTGGATCTTCTTGTGGTTCCACACGCTGATGGTGATGGAATCTGATTTTCCGATGTATCTGAAAGGAAGGACAGAAGAAGGAGACATTTAATGGCTCTCATAGACACCATGATAATCACTGTTTGACCCCTTATCCAGCAAAAGATACCATGACAGAGTGTGCAGTTCTTGAATGACTCCAGCTTGGCTAATCACTCAATCAATCAATCAACAGTCAGGGTTCATACACTTTTTCACCAATGATTTTCAATGACTTCTCAATGACCGTTACCTAATTTTCCATGACCAAAAAAAATACTCTTTCTCAGCAGTTCCACTGAAAATGGTTTATTTTAACATGGAACAGGAAAATAAGGTCTGCATCTGAAACATGTTGTGCCTATCTAAAACAAATCAAATAGGCTTACTAGCTTCCACACGCTAAAGCAACTCAAATCTCTCACCAGCAAAACACCTCGTCAGTTAAATGCCATTTTACGTTTCATTACTACACCATACAGTATTTATTATCATTAAAGTATTACTATTTCGGCGATTAGATAATATATAAATTATATTTTATGCAACTTTAGTTACATTTCCATAACCTTTCCAAAACTTTGGGAAAAGTATAACTTTTCCAAGGCCTGGAATTAGCATTTTGAATTTCCATGACTTTTCCAGGTTTTTAATGACCGTAAGAACCCTGAACAATTTATTACAACAAATTGATGCAAACATGATTGTTTAACTTCCACTAAGAGAAATTCGTCCGTTCCACTGCCTACCAACAATGATAGCAACCATTTGAAATGACGGCAGCACTGATCGAGGTTTTCTGTAACTCTCTGTTAACGTTTTCTTGACCATTAACCCGTCCTAATAACGAAATAACCTACCACTGAATGTCCAAATTGACCAATCAGAATCAACTAAGCTATGGTAGCAGTTGTAAGACATTAGGTCATGACCAGTCTCACTCAGGATGTCTCACAACTCCCCATAGAGGATACCACTGAGACGCCTTTTCATGGACACAGTACGAGACACAGTTTGGACATGGAGGAGGAAGAGGAAGAGGGAGGTAGGGAAGTTGAGGGATTTTCCAGACGGTGGATGTGAACTTGTGATCCTGAGCGTCTGAACACCACAGACTGTGATCCTGTGAATCATTTATTCACAGAACATATCAGGAGGAGGGAGACAGGATGGAGAAACTGTGACGAGCAAAAAATAACGAAACTGGAGCCATGAAAATATCAGTCAGACTGTGGATGAAGGGGCGAGAACATGGCCTTTTAAATTAGGCTCGCATCGAGTTCTCGAGACACTTTTGGTTTCACTTTAGTGACTAAGAAGGAAGCTTTTTCCCCGTATATATGAGAATGACAAATTACCAGTTAATTTAGGTTTAAACGCTCATCAATCATGCTGTCAAAACTATTTTGAAACAGTTCAGGAGATCATATCAGACCTACTGCATTCTGGGGGGAAATCACAGCATTTGCAACATGACTAAATATTTAAAATATAAATAAAACAAAAATAAGGAACAAGCCAGAACATATATCTCAAATCCAAATCCAGTCTTAAAAAAAAGGCTGATTTTAAACGGGTATAATGTTGATTCCAATTTTAATTTAGCGTGTTCGCATGCTGCACTTGATTTTAAGATGGAAGCAGCATGCCTTCATTAAAATGTTAAGATGGGGCGGCTGTGGCTCAGTGGATAGAGTGCTGGACTTCAAACCAGGGGGTAGCAAGTTCGAGTCCCACTGCAGTCAGCTTGTCGTTGTGTCCCTGAGACACTTCACCCCAAATTGCTCCTGTGGGGATTGTCCACAGCACTGAGTCGCTTTGGATAATAGCGTCTAACAAATGACATGTAATGTAATTAAGAGATAAACAGGCTTACAAATTATTGTTTATCTGTTTTATTTTATATGAGAACATGTAGGCCTTACATTGAGGGAAATTCTTTATGTTTTCGGCGAATAGGCTTGCATATTTGTTGGCATAATATTGTATTTAATTAGTCTATGGAAAGGACTTGAAGTGATCGACATGCCTTGATGAAGCTACTCTTTGTACAGCCATCCTATCAAGCTTTTAAACAGATTTCTCCCTTTCTGTCTGGGACACGTTGACCAACTTTCAACGGAATCGCTGATTGCTAATATGGCTAAAAACAACTTTATGCAAGTATGGAACATGTTCAGGGAACTGTATTGTATTCAGAAAAGGAATAAGATGAGACAGATCATTTCCTGACTGTGTGTCTCCTCCATTCTCCTTCCTCTCCTCCTCCTCATGTGTCCGGCGTATCGAGAGTGTGATCAAATCTCCGGTGAACCTGTTGTTGCACATCTGCTCTGGTTGGCTTCCTCTTTCAGTCGCAAACTAATCATCTGTACGCTTCGCAGAACTGCATCCCACTGTAATTATCATGCTGCTTACCAAATGGGATATGAAACAATGGGGCTGTGAGTAAGACGTCTGGACATTTTGAGTCCGAGCCAAATGCCTGTCTGGGGTGCGATGTGAGAGAATGTCAGACAGACGTGACGGGAGGGAGCATTTCAACCAAACTCCCGTCATCTGGATCACCCTCCACGTAATAAAATTCATTAGTCTGGCTAAGGTTTTTAATACCAGTCGAAGGCAATAACACACATGCACGAGAGACAATGGGAAAACTGCAATAAAAAGCAGATTTAAAGAGTCAGATGTGCTTTCCTTCGGTGGACTTTTCCCTGAAAGTCCCTGCCAAGAACATATGGTGAAAGTGAAAGAACAACGAGTCATTACAGCAACAATCTGAGGTACAAACAGAACAAAAAGGGAAATCCCGACACTAAAACTCACTGCTAACGACTGGAAATCTGCTCATGTTCTTAAATTGATTGACAGATTTGCTTCCTCTGCACTGTGGCCCTTCTAATTCTACGACATATTAACACCACGGACCTAATAAAAGACATTAATGGGGCCGGGTGCAACTCGACCGGGCTGGGGAGTGGAAAATGGATGGATGAGTGGGCCGTAAATAATTTCCAGTCTAGACTGAGTGCTTAACATTGCATATGTATAATTTAATAACAAGGTATTTGAAGGACTGTTAATTAACCAAATGTGACTGAGTGCTCGCTGGAGGGGGAATCCAAAAGGGCAGGAAACACTACAACATGATGAAGAGCTGTTATCATTATAATACTAATTCGTCACTGTGTCCTTGTCCTCGAAAAACTGTCTTTTGTCTTTTATTCGCTCTGATTTTACTGTAACTTAAAGGTCACCTATCATGCTATTTTTAGGCAATAGCATAGGTCTCATATGTCTATGAAGTGTTTTTTGCTCAAAAGATCACCTATTCTAGCCATGCCTCATATCCCTCTATTTCACTTCCTGTTTCAAAAGTGCTGATTCTGGGTATAAAGCTTTAAAAGGAAAGAAAAGTAAATTGATACAAATAAAAAGGGGGGGTTTGAGCTCATGCGGGACCCGGCAGCTACTGTCTAAACTAAATGCTGCCGTGAAGAAACGACATATCATGGATTATCAAGGATTCTCTCTGAAACAGTTTGGAGCTCAAAGGCTTTCTCTCTTGCCGGTTATACCACAAGGTGAGTTCCTTTTTACTTCCTGCTTCTTCACACACATGCTCTCCAGTACAGGTTAGCTCTGAGTGTTAGCGATGCTAATGTAAACACCGACCATATTACGTCCAAAACAGTCGGGCATTGTTTCTGATAGCAACGTTTCTGATTGGCCCGTGGGTCCACATTTCAGATATTACGTCATATCGGACGCAAATCTGGATCAGCTCCGTTGTTCCCCGTTTTAGAGATTTGGGTACGGAGGAAAAGAGAGAGGGTTTGATTTCCTGACGCTGCGTGAGTTCCCTGACACACCGGGGACACATTGATGTAGAAAAGACATCACAAAGTGCATTTTGCATGATAGCTCCCCTTTAAGGAAAGATAAGATGGAGATTTGATAAAGGGCTGAGGGAAAGACAATCCCAACTCCTATTGATGTTACTTTATCCATAATGTACAATCAAAGACCAACCGTGAATGCAATAGAGTGGTGCAGGAATGAGTCCAAAATCGTGAGATAAGTCCGCATTTTAGCACTGGTGTCCATGGTCTAAGTCAGTGGTTTTCTGAAGGTTTTTTGGTTGTTATTTTTTCCCTTTCCTGTAGATTTCTGTGCATGTAAATGGCTGCAAAGTCTAAAATGTGTTCTTTCCAGAGGGGGTTTCTCTGAAGAATGGAAACATGTCACAGCAGAGACATTAAATAATAATATGAACCTGAACAGGAGCATATGTCCTCTTTAAGATATTTGAACCAGCTCTTATATCTTAAATACTTTAGGGTCATTTCACTCAGGGACATTTTAAGCAAAACAAAAAAATTACTTTTCCACCACAGAGTGTGAGAGGCAGCCACAAAGACTGTCTGCTATCTTTGGCATGCCGGCCAATTCCTGCAACAATGCAGAAGGGTCACAGTTCACTCACTAGTCTGCTGTACTCTGAACACACACACACACACACACACACACACACACACACACACACACACACACACACACACACACACACACACACACACACACACACACACACACACGGAACTCTCTTTCCTGCCAGCAGCCTTAAAGCAGTCAGAGCACCAGGTGTTTCAGGCTCTGTTTTGATGAGAGTGAGCCAGACAGACGGCTCAATTAAAACCTCTCTCTCCTCCAACAACACACCACCTGAGAGGCCTGCTGCTGGACACGAGGATACACACTACACACAGGATACACACTACACAGTTAGGGGGGGGGTTACAATCATGGTTACACTCATGATAAACCTCATAGGACATTGTATATCCATCAAGTTTGAATACATTTGGTTTATCACTGATTAGCCAGGTAAATGGACTGTACTTATATAATAATAATAATAATAATAATCCTTATATTTATTATAGCGCTTTATCAAAGACTCTCAAAGCGCTTTACAAATACACATTACACACACAGATCATACATGTAATGGTCATCTACTGTGGACAATACCCACAGGAGCAAATTCGGGTGAACTGTCTTGCCCAAGGACACAACGGCTTGACGCAGTGGGGCGGGAGCGGGTTTCGAACTGGAGTTCCCCAACGCCCCCTTGATCTGATGATCAAACGCACAGAACACTGCATAGCGCTTCATCCAGTCTTTAAGACCTCTCAAAGCGCTTTACATACTACATGTCGTTCACCCATTCATACAGAGCATTGTACCTTACTCTAGGACCTAAGATTCACACACCGTTGGCCATGCCATCGGGAGCATCTCGCCCAAGGATACATCGACATGTTGACTGCACGGGCTGGGATCGAACCCACAACCTTCTGGTTGAAAGACGACGCACTCCCTCCAGCCACAGTCGCCCTAGGTTAGAGGTAAAATCTCTCTTTGTGTCATTGGAGTCTGGTGGTTTTGTGTAGCACATATTCGATTAATTCACCAAATAAAAGCACAAAGCCTTGTTGATAATATATCATATATCACACAAGACTATGTTCTCCTCTCCATCGACCCATCTTAACGAAGCTGCACACACACGTCTTGTGGTTTTTTGCAGCCCATATCCAGTCGATAATTAGAGTAATTCACCAAATAAAAGCACAAAACCTTGTTGATAATATCCTTAACGTAAACACGGTCCATAGCATCACGTCTGAGAGCCTTTGAATCCACTGAGCCAGGACCCTGTGTTCTCCTCTCCATCGATCCATCTTTTAAAAGGTGAACACACACACACACACACACTCTGTGACTTTTCCCCCCTGTTGTCAAAAGTGACACGAGCAGCTGATTTAACATCCATGTCGAGAGAGGGTCCTGTTTCCCCGGCAACCAAACAAACGGAGACGTGCTTCCTCTCGCTGCTGGATAAACACCGGAGGAACAGTGGAAACTCTCACTCTCACACTCTCACTCACGTCTCTTTTCCAGGTTACCTTCACAGGGTCTCTGGGAAACGAAGGTTACAGCAAGACATGAAAATACTGCCGGAGACTCCTTTGTGTTTCTTTAAACACTTCTCCCAGGGACTCTGAAGGGTTGTGTCATCACGGAGTATTAAGATAAGTGAGAGAACAGATGTAGGATCTGTGAGTGTGTGAGTCCTGTTAATGACAGCCGGACACTTCGCAGGGCGCTCGCTGGTTGAGGTTAAATACAGAGAGCTGTGAGGTTTTGTAACGGCTGCTGTTCGGAATCACAGTAAGGCTCTGGAGAGGTGGGAGGTATGCAAATAAACAGAGAGGTAGAACACACACACACACACACACACACACACTGATGTGCAATATATACTTTACATTTATTATTATTACGGGCTGCTACTTCACTACCTAAGACTGTCTGTCACGAAATACCATAATGCATTGTGTATATATTCTACCTTTAAAGTGTATTTAGTAGCAGTAGGTTAGTCTATTATAGTGTGTTCTAACTTGTTGTTATATTCCATGGAATACTCTAAACATCCCGATAGCAAATAATATATTAAATGCTTTGACAATAAATACATAAAAAAATCTCATCTCTGGAAGCCGTAGCGCTGTAAAAAGCACAACCAATCATCTGAGCCGGCCCGGCTAAAGTAACTGGATGGCCTACCTGCCTGTCAGCCTTCCCTCGGGGCACAAACTTATCTCGTGCCCTCATTGGTCATGTGTGCGTTCATGTGTGTTGGAGGAGGGGCTCTGTGAGGAAGTGGCAGATTTCTTCCGGTTGTGTATTTTCAATAGCGCACTCGAGCTGGTTTCTCCATTCTTAACTATACCTTTAACTTTCAATTGCCTTTTTGTTGAATATGTTAGTCTACTCTCATATATTGCCTTTTCATCTGTACTGTCCCTTTGCTGTATAAACGATAGATTCACACGCTGTAGCAAACGTAAGGAATATGTAATTTTACATTCAGATGAAAGTGTGTGGGACTCACAGGTCGTAGTGCTGGTTCCACTTGGGGTCGAGTGTGTTCCTCACTGTGTCCGTGGAGTGGCATTGCCCCGAGCCGTCCACAACGACCTTAGCAAAGGGATCAGGGAGGCCTGCAGCAGGAAGAGAGACACAACCACACAGAGCTGAGACACAATCACCAAGAAGACACAACAGAAGACAGGACACTGAATGACAAGATGGCAGACGCTGAGGTTTCTCCGCTGTGGGATCAGATTACTCACTGGTTACTTACACAATTTGTCTTGTACTTTGATTCCAAAATGAGATCCTTCGGAGACAAGAGTACAGTGGAGGGTGACTAAAAAATGCATTGGATTTGTTGCTGTCAATTCAAGAAAGGGATAGTTCAGATTTTGAAGTTCTTATCCAATGTCAGTGTGTTTGTGTTTTGGAGAAAATGGAAAGGAGCACAAGCATAGAAGCTAAGTACTTGAGGAGGGTGGTAGCGAAAAAACATGTATTTATCAGTTTGAATGAATGCTATATTTAGGATATTTTGCTCTCAGTAACGCAGGTCTACCTCTGCCTCAATCAGTTAGTTTGTTGAGGTTGTTATTGTGTGAATTTGGTGAGTCTGAATTAACCGTTTAATACACAAAAGTCACACAAACAAACAAACTGATGGAGGCAGCGTTAGACCAGCTATTCCTGTTTTTGTCAATGGCGATCAAGAGAAGAGAGAGAGGGCGATCAAGAGAAGAGAGAGAGGGTGATCAAGAGAAGAGAGAGAGGGTGATCAAGAGAAGAGAGAGAGGGCGATCAAGAGAAGAGAGAGAGGGTGATCAAGAGAAGAGAGAGAGGGTGATCAAGAGAAGAGAGAGGGTGATCAAGAGAAGAGAAAGAGGGGCGATCAAGAGAAGAGAAAGAGGGCGATCAAGAGAAGAGAGAGAGGGCGATCAAGAGAATAGAGAGAGTAATGTAACCTCCTAATGTAATGTATAACTCCTATGAAAATGTTCAAAAAGTGCTCAAACTTCACATGTGTGCTAACAGTCCAGCCGTGGCAGTTTAAGATGTGAATATAGCAATTAAAGCAGCGACAAAAAGAAAAGTCTTCAGTCTGGATTTAAAAGTAGTCGTAGAGTTGCAGCGGACCTGCAGGTTTCTGGGAGCTTGTTCCAGATATTTGGAGCATAATAACTGAACTTCTCCATGTTTAGTTCTGACTCTGGGGACAGAAAGCAGACCAGTCCCTGAAGACCTGAGAGATCTGGATGCTTCATCATTTAAACCAATATGGATATTTTTTATGGCTAAACTAAATGTGGTTGCCCCCCCCTTTCACAGCAGTACATTGCCTAGCTTCTAGGTTTGTACTCCAATCATCATCTACTGTATTTAATAAACCAACATGGATAAGCACCTCATTCAAGCCCACTTTGAAACGTACAGAATACCCCTTTGAACTGGTCTGATTTGGAAAAAACACCACATGATTATTCACAACACACAAAACAATCAGTTTCAAATGAGGTGAGGCGATATAGAGCGGTGCAGAGATGGCAACCTGGAAGTTAGCATCTCCCTTATTACAAAAATAATCTTTGTGGCAAACAAACAAACGTTGATCTAATCCAGGGGGGTCCAAACCTTTTTCACAGAGGGCCACATACAGAAAAATATTCGAAGGGCTGGGCCGCTCACTAGAAGTATATCGCCTCATAAGTTCAGTTATAAGTTAGCAGAATCAATCAAATGTAGGTACATGGTGCTTCTGAGTGTTGGCAGCTCATCCCTTAAAACAGAAGATTGATTACAATAAGGAGAAATATGAAGGGTTTATTTCAAGCTTGTTATGAAAATAAGTTATTGGGCTTTTTTCTTATCAACTAAGATATACTAGAAAATGTTTCCAACTCTAATTGACTGCATTTATTTGAAAAGTGGGCTTACATGAATACTACTGTGTGATATATGTTTACATAGTTAAGAAGTACAATATAAGACTAGCACAAGTTTCATTTTCGGGCCTTATTCCATTATACCTTTTGAATTTGATGAGGGCCGCATTTGGCCCCCGGGACGTAGTTTGGACACCCCTGGTCTAATCTCTTGTGTTAGCCACAGACTTTATTTCAGGATAATAACCAAAGACACATTCAGACATCTTCCAGATGAGGGAACAGGTGGTAACCGTGGTAACATGCTGACTCATTTCAGGGCTGAAGACTCATTCTTGCACCGCTCTATTTAAATCAGTAATGTGGTTAGTTGTAACAGAATGACCACACACACACACACACACACACACACACACACACACACGCACGCACGCACGCACACACACACACACACACACACACACACAGGTTTCAGTGTATCTGGGTGTTTGCTCAGCTCAGGAGGAGGAATGGCAGGAATGGGCACCACAGAAACCACCTGAGTGAGCAGAAGACCTTCAGATGCTCACTCACCATGACAGCCCGCCCAAACACACCAAAACACTCGCTGCAGCACCCTCACTTATTAAGGCTGTAGTGGAGAACATTAACTGGGTGTTTGATGCAAAGCGGTTAGCAGAAACACTGTCCAAAATGGAAATATATCCCCTGTACGTTGAGCCTGTTTTCCCACTGAAATTAGCGCGTATATGCAGGGGGGAAACACGCTAAACACAGGCCATGTTGTTAGCAGTGCCAGTAGACCGTGGATAAGAGGGAGGCAGTAGACCGTTACTTATTCACTCTCTCCTTTAAACATATGGTGACGTTGGAAAGACGAAAAAAGGATGTTTATTTTTTTTATTTCAAGTTTCAATTAAGTATGTTTGATTATAGTCCTTAAGTTAGACTATTGTCAATGGAGTTTGGCGGTTTTGAAGAGAGAATATTATCGCATGTTTGTACGTTATTACAATTCTAATTATTGTCCATCGTCGTTATATATATTTCCTTCAATGTGTGTCATAGCGTAAAAAAAGTGTGGAATATTTCAGTTACTGTTAATCGGAGCTAAAGGACATAAATAACTGTGACTAATGTAGTATATTAAAGTATAATAAAGTAAGTAAAGTATATTTACTGGGAAATGAATGCAGATTGTAACCTTCCCCAGTACAGGAAGGGCGTTAGGTGTTAGTGGGATTTTGACCAGTGGGAAGAGGTGCTTTAGTGACATTTTACAAAACTTTATTTAGGAATTGCACTCGAGTCACGGTTTTGAGTTTATTTAAAGTAACAGGGCACTATGTAGACGACTCCTACTTCCAAGGACATATGTAGCAGAGATGGAGTACTCGAGTGCCGATTTTCGGGACTTGTGACTCGACTCGGACTCGCGCACTGATTGACGCGACTCAGACTTGGACTCGTGAATTCTCGCGCACGATGACTTGGACTCGACTTGAACACAGGTAACGATGACTTGGACTCGGATTCGGCTCGGACTCTCCTTGGATGACTCAGACTTGGACTCGAACACAGTGTAATGGAAACTTCTGTGTAGCTATGCAGTGGGAGTCACCGACTCAGGAAGGAGACACGGCACAGCAGCCAAGGTTACGAGGTGCGTGTGCTCAGTCAGGACAGTTTGAACTGATAAACTGGGTCAAAGTTATGGGCCTTGGAAAATATTTCCACAACACACAGGTAACGATGACTTGGACTCGGACTCGGACTCTCCTTGGATGACTCGGACTTGGACTCGGACTCGAACACAGGTAACGATGACTTGGACTCGGACTCGACTCGGACTCTCCTTGGATGACTCGGACTTGGACTCGGACTCGAACACAGGTAACGATGACTTGGACTCGGACTCGACTCGGACTCTCCTTGGATGACTCGGACTTGACTGGACTCGAACACAGGTAACGATGACTTGGACTCGGACTCGACTCGGACTCTCCTTGGACTTGACTCGGACTCGAACACAGGTAACGATGACTTAGACTCGGACTCGACTCGGACTCTCCTTGGATGACTCGACTGGACTCGGACTCGAACACAGGTAACGATGACTTGGACTCGGACTCGACTCTGACTCTCCTTGGATGACTCGGACTTGGACTCGGACTCGAACACAGGTAACGATGACTTGGACTCGGACTCGACTCGGACTCTCCTTGGATGACTTGGACTCGGACTCGAAACAGTAACGATGACTCATGGCCTTGGACTGACTGACTCTCCTTGGGTGACTCGGACCTGGACGGATCGAACAAAAGGTAACGATGACTTGGACTCCGGACTCGACTCGGAAACTCTCCTTGGGTGGACTCGGACTTGGACCTGAACACAGGTAACGATGACTTTGGACTCGGACTTGACTCGAACACTCCTGGGTGACTCAGGACTTGGACTCCGACTACGACTCTCCCTAGGTGACTTGGACCGACTCGAAGAGTGCTGACTCGAGAGGGACTTGGACTCGTGAATTGGTGACTTGACTACAACACTGATATGTAGTAAGTAAATCTTCCCTATCTGTTTAATTGGCTAAATGAGAATATCCTAGTTGTTGTCTTTGAAAGCTTCGAAGCAGCTAAACTTCATCGACCCAAAGTCCATGTTCTCTCAAGAGGTTTTTAGTTTGCGTGCATCAAACACCCACAGCCTCGACCAACTTCAGTACGAGGAGCCGATGATGGCAGATACTTACGGAAGAAGTCCTTCTTCACCAGGTTTTTGGCGCAGAGGACTGAAAAAAGAAGAAAGACATAATTAAAGATCAATAACAATTCAAATCGAAGCAGTATATATCAGAGTCTTACGGTTGGTTTGTAGAGTTTGAACTAAAATGCAAGAAAAGACGTGGGGATGTATACTGTATGTGTAGGCAGCAGGAAACGTCTAGTTCAAAAACATCAGACCCATTAGATAGTTAACTGTACAATCTTTGTATCCAGACACGAAGTGGAAGCTTTTCGACATCTAACACCAGCTGTATCGTTAGAGAACATGTCACTCATTATAAACCCAGCCTTTGAGCTGGAGGAGGACATGTTTTGTCTCTGTCTCTCTTCCCAGAGCAGCAGAGAGGTAGACCCTAATGATCTACTCATGAGCGTGTGTGTGTGTGTGTGTGTGTATGTGTGTGTGTGTGTGTGAGTCAGGCTCATGAAACACACTTTTGGTTTAGCTTCTCTCTGATAACCTTTTTCTGAGGAACAGAACTGATGTGGTTTCTGACGACTCCGATTCACTGGTTTTAATAGATGTTAGACTGTAACTGTAAGACTGTAAGACTGTAATAGTTACCGTTTAGTCTTCCATTTATCACTGATACTTATATTCAAGATTTGTCCAGTCCTTTTGTACTCTTTGAAATGCATTTTTGTTTGTATGTTCTAGAGTCGAATGATGGAAGTTAACGGGCCCTATCATGCTTTTTGGGGGTTTCCATTTCCTGTAGTGTGATATATAGGTTTGTATGCATGCAAATGGTCTCCTAAGCAGCAAATCTGTATACTTAAATAGAATAAATAAAAAAAAATCATGCAAAAGCACCACTTTGAATCTTTCATCACAGATGTGCACATTAGTTTCTTGCAAAGCAGTCATTTAGCCCGAAAACAGCAACAAGTCGACTAAGAACAAAAAGAAGCCTTTAGTCAATAAATCCACCAATCAGAGGGGCAGACATATTATTTTTGTGGCTTTACCTCGTCTCGCTTTCCCACTTCCTCCATGTGCAGGTGAGCGTGCTCAGACTTCACTTTGCTAACACAAATAGACAAAGACACACCCATAGTGGTAGACTGCAGCTTAAAACATTCAACCTGCCTCTCACACACACACACACACACACACACACACACACACACACACACACACACACACACACACACACACACACACACACACGAGACTGTGGTTTTAATGACAAAAAACCCCATTATAAAAGACAGCAAAAAAAACTGGATGCAATCCCTCCTCGGGGGGATGGGGGGCCCGGGTGCAGAACATGCTCCACAGATGAGGAAGAATTTCTTTCCGCAAACATCCCTGGGAATGTGTTACGTTCCAGTGAAACCCACCTCATTTCTAAAACATCTGGTATGCATCGCTGTTGAGCACACAGATGACACACACACACACACACACACACACACACACACACACACACACACACACACACACACACACACACACACACACACACACACACACACACACACACACACACTTCCCCTGAGACAACTGGTTCTTCACTGATCTGATTAATTACTAAGAGGCTCAGAGGAAAGTGTGCACGCTTTGAGGCTTTAAGAGAGGTAAAAAAACTTGCCGGTAACAGATGAATATAATATGTTTTCAAATGCTTCTGTCCGCAAACCGTAGACAATATAAGAATATTGTGAATAGCACTATAAAGTGGTGCAGTGATGACGTATTTTTGAAGACCGACACTGATACTGACTTCACGTCACCACCGCTAAGCTCAAGGAGGCTAATGTTGGGCTATAAAGGAACTACAGCACGGTCACATGACTTCATGTCACCACCGCTAAGCTAAAGGAGGCTAACGTTGGGCTATAAAGGAACTACAGCACGGTCACATGACTTTACGTCACCACCGCTAAGCTAAATGTGGCTAATGTTGGGCTATAAAGGAACTACAGCACGGTCACATGACTTCATGTCACCACCGCTAAGCTAAAGGTGGCTAATGTTGGGCTATAAAGGAACTACAGCACGGTCACATGACTTCATGTCACCACCGCTAAGCTAAAGGTGGCTAATGTTGGGCTATAAAGGAACTACAGCACGGTCACATGACTTCACGTCACCACCGCTAAGCTAAAGGTGGCTAATGTTGGGCTATAAAGGAACTACCGCACGGTCACATGACTTCACGTCACCACCGCTAAGCTAAAGGAGGCTAACGTTGGGCTATAAAGGAACTACAGCACGGTCACATGACTTCACGTCACCACCGCTAAGCTAAAGGAGGCTAATGTTGGGCTATAAAGGAACAGCAGCACGGTCACATGACTTCATGTCACCACCACTAAGCTAAAGGTGGCTAACGTTGGGCTATAAAGGAACTACAGCACGGCCACATGACTTCACGTCACCATCGCTAAGCTAAAGGAGGCTAATGTTGGGCTATAAAGGAACTACAGCACGGTCACATGAATTCACGTCACCACCGCTAAGCTAAAGGAGGCTAATGTCGGTCGATGATGTTTAGTCGTCTCATTTAGACACTTATTAGCAACCGTAGTTTTAAATCCACCAGTGGGTTATTTACTGACGTATTTTATGTCGTAGAATTTAAATCTCTTCAGCTTGTGTTAACCACAGACCTTATTTCAGACTAAAACTAATTTTACATAAATCCACAGGAGGTCAAAAGAAAGAAAAGCAAACCACTGGGTAAAGAGACTCTAAACAATGCATGACAATAAATACACAACGCAACCAGCATGACATGGCCCACATAATGGCAGAATGAGCTTAGCTAAAAACCTGCAGCCCTCCTGTGAGTACATAAGCCAGCCACACAGCAGGAAGGCAACACTGCAATTATACCTATATATGATCCTTGTGAAAACATACAAGTGGCCCGGATTACATCTGAAACCAGAGGGGAAACCACTGGAACGGGAGGAGACAGACAAGGCAGGGAAGCCAATTAGGAGTCTGAGGCAACATGAGGAGAGGAATCAGGACGCAGAGGAATCCAACCGGCAACATGTCAGGATGATATACATAAACTCTATGTCATTTGAAGGCAGCGAGGTGAGGTCAACTCTCCCGTCTCTGCAGGGAAAGCTTTCCAAAGGACAAACATGGAGATGTGTGTGATTATATAAAACACACAAAGCAGGTTGCCAAAAAGAAAGGTCTAGTCTGACCGCAGCTATGTGAGAGACAGAGGGATGTAGGAAAGAGCAAGTCACCTGTCAAAAATAGAAGTGTGCTTAGGGAGAACACAACGTCTGCTACCTCTAAGACACGGCCATGTTTCAGGGGTACAAAACTACATTAAAATGCATTTTGGGAAACGTTTTGAAAACTCTAAGTAGGAAGTGTTAGCTCAAATGTAACTGAGTTTGATGGTAGAGCGGGAGATATGTTATGACTAAGTAAAGTAAAAGTTAGTTAAAACATATATCCACGTTGGAAGATGCAACTAAAAAACTCCATGAATGTAATGCTGGGTCTCAATGCGGATACTTCCCTTAGCACACTGCCATGTCGTACACTATGAACACTTCAAATGTGTGATTGCCCGATGTTAGCTAGAGCTAGGCGAATCCAAAAATCAGCTCCTAACGTCTAACCCTATCTCCTATCCCTTGACCTCTGAGTGAAAGGTCACAGGGTTAAGGGATAGTGGATAGGAGAATTCAAAAGGACTTAGGAGAAGAAACTGTGGTGCTTTAGAGAATCCGAATGCACTTTCACTATCTGACGTATTTATGATGCGCCAGCGGACGTCATGAATGAGCGTCTGCTGCTGTGGGGAAACTATGGAAACTACAGTTTTCTACACAGCGGACTACAACATGGATGTTCAATAAGAACGAGGGACTCCTGTGAACTCATCTAGAGACTCTGTGCTCTGATGCTGCTGCTTTATGCTTTATGAACGTGGACAACAGAGAAACATATTCTTCAGGACCAAAGCTGGAATTGAAATAAAAAGGAAAGTGAAACTTCTGCTCGTCCCCCTCTCCCTCCGGTCCACATTAATACAAATGATCCCAATACGTATGATTGATGAAAAGATCTTAAAATCAATACAGATGTATTTATTATAAACGTTAGTCCTTAACATCTATCACTGTATATCACCATTCAAACATCTTTAAAAGTTGAACAGCCCACAGCGCAGTAAAGACTGGTGAGATGTTGACTTTTATGTGATCATTTCAGTAAAAACTAACGTTCATATTTCTCTTTTTGGATTATAATACTGATGACGTTGCAAAAACAAAGCACTTTGGCAACTTACCACATACGTTTAAAATGGTTAATAAGCACCGTAACTTTCATGATATCATTTCTCCGTCATAATCAGGGTTGTTTTCCCGTGAACGGCCGAGCTGTTGAGTGACGGCAAATGCTGCGGCTGCAATGCATTGTGGGGCACATTTTCTCCTCTCCTTTCGGTGAGGGAGGTCCAGGTGGTTTCCTAAGCTAAAGAGGTTATAAAGGAAGTTTGAAACCTCCTTTCCTATCATCTAGAGAATTGGAACGGCACTTATCATGGCTGCCACTGAGGAACTTCCGGGTCATTTCACTCCGTTAGGAAGGTTCCTAAGCTAAATGGACTATTGGAACGCAACCCAGGAAAAGTGGACCAACCATTGCTGACATCAAACCAATCATAAACTTGGCTTTAGCATACTCAAATAAAAGCTAAAAGGTGTCTGTTTTCCTGAGGTACACGGACTGATGCTTCAATTATTAAGGACTTCAAATTGTCCAGACATGCACGGCTGCTGATTTGTAGGGACCCTTCGTCTGTCACCCTCCTTTGGCCTCATTTATATTTGATGGAGCTTTCTTAAGGGGGGTTTCTGCTTCCTGTGTGCATACATCTGAATTTCCAACACACCTCCAGCTTGTAAAACTGTCTCGAATGATTCCTTTCAGAATCACAATCAGAATTCCTTCCTTAGTCCCACAACGATACAGCAAAAGGTGCCATCGCAGGTACAAAAAAGGGATGCAACAATAAAGAAT